AGGAGAAGAGGGAAAAGAGGGAAGAGAGGGAAATGGATATATACTGGGATGATTTGGCTGGGAATGGTTTTGTTGGGATTCTTGGTGGTTGGTTGGCGTTTTTACATTTTATATTTGGTTAGGAATGCAGAGAAAGAAATTGGAAGGGATTTTTTGGGGGGGTGTGGAGGAGGGAGGGAGGGCAGGGGAGGGGAGGGGAGGGGAGGGGGGGTGGAAGGGGTTGATGGTGAAGGAGGGAGGAGGTTTATAGATAGATAGATGGTTTGGGCGGTGGCGGAGGATGAGGATGAGGATGAGGGTGAGGATGAGGATGAGGGTGAGGATGAGGATAAGGGTGAGGATTTGGAGAAGAGGATGAGAAGGAGTAGGAGTAGAAGAAGATAGAAAGAGATTTCACTTCGTAGTCAGTGCACTTACTTTTTACCTGCGGGCTCTCGCTAACAGTCAGGACAAGCAAGTGTCCTAAGTCAAGCAAGTGTCCCATTTCACTTCTTTCCTATTTAAAAAAAAAAGCTATATTTTGAAATATCAGCTGCAATCAACCACAGCTATATATGTCAAAGCTCGATAATTAAATAGAGCTCCATTGCCACCCTTCGTGCATCTGTTTTTCAATATTATTACTCGTTGCGTTATTGATTTATACGAGTTGCAAATCGCATCAATGCTAGCTAATATTTTTAATGTTCCGAAGCCTCTCAGACTTAATAATCGATACGCTGCAAGCTTGCTACGAATTTTCGTTTGCAAAAAACTGATCTTTTACGCAATAAATATTATGATAATCAATATATATGTTTTAATATTCAATAACACAATAAAAGATCGTAACGCCGATACGTAAATATAATTCTTATTATCATAGCTTGTTGCGTCATGAAGTTATCTACGATACAAACCGTGATTTTTAGTAATTTTTAAGGATTTTCAACTCGATTTTGCGTACTATTTGAGATGGGACACTTGCTTGGCCTGGGACACTTGCTTATCTTGACGGTGACCGAGAGCCCGCAGGTGAAAGTTAGCGCACTGACTATTAAATAAACAAGTCAACGTAGGTATGAATGTAAAGAAGACAGGACGAATACTGATCAAAATCAAGCAGCTTGACTTAAAGGAGTGGAGCACTTGGTTCTTATTTTGCGTTCTTATGTGATGGGGAAGGCAAGAGGTGTATGGCATGTATGTATGGTTTTAATTCTTTTTGTAAGTAGGCCTTAAGGGTTTTATGGTGATGATTTTGGGTGGGTGGGTAGTTTTATTAAGATGCGGTTTTTTTTTTGTTTTTTTTTTTTTGAGGGGGGGAGTTGGGAGGGGGATACGAATATTCGCTATCTTTGAGAGTGGAAAGATTATCTTGAGAAGAAGCGGGAAAGAGAGATAGATAGGATCTGGATCTACGTCCAAATTCGATGGGCTGATCTAATATGCTGAATCCGAGATCTCCAGAGTCCAAACACATAATCGGTAGCTGCTAGTTGAGCAGTCAGTTTCGAAGATTAGGGCTATTTCAATTTTAAAGGTGTTGATAAGTAATAAACTGTTATTTCGAATGTTTCATATATGAACGAAACCGATATTTTTTTCCCCTTTCTTTCTTGGAAGAAGTAGTGTGGTGGAGTTGAGGGTCTGTACCGGTATTTGTTTTGTCCATGTATATAGTTTTGCTACTAGGCACCTTTGTCACGTGGATGCATCGGATGCCCTTGCTCTGCTAGGCACGTGGCTAGGTCACGTGGATGCGCCTATATTGACGAGTAGTTGGTTCCTCCCTGAGCCATCATCAATCCAACACACACACACATACAAAACACAATCGAGTGTCTTCGAATGTCCTTCTTCTCCCCGCCTTCTCACCTACGATTCTACCATGACTATATACTCATATATCTCTTGATTCGACGTTAGGTATATGTCGGAGCTCTTCCCCTCCACAGTAGTCAGATCTTAAGGCGTTGAGCGGCTATGCAAATCGAGGTTCTGATTATTATGTTCGAGGCATGAGAACGTCGCTCGGGCATTTTCGCCGTTGGGTCCTACTACGGCTTTTCATTATTGTTATGCGAAGGCTTTTAGTCGGCGCTGCTGGGTGAGGATACCTTTGTAGATGAGTTGCTTCATTTCAGGAGGGAATGTGTATATATCTCGCTTAAAGGTTTCCATGGCCTCAACGCTGGCGTTGTATGCTAGAAGCCATCCCCCTTCCGCCTTTCTAATTATAATAGGTATGGATACTGTTTTCTTTATATACCTTCTTACTAAACAGAGAATCTACTTACCTTAGGAGAGAGGTCCCAAGGCGGTAAGCGCTTGCTATCTATTATACTCCCCCGACCTTAACCCAATCGAGCACACCTTAAGCGAAAGGAGGGTCATTTAGATGTTTCCCGACGTTGCTGCCGATAGAAACGAATCGGAAGAACGAAAATAAGGTTGTAATCGTATTTAAAAGCTGTTTGGCAATGTTGAGACCAGATGAGTATTTGTTAAATATTTTGTAGGTGTCGATGGAAGGCCGTGATCGCGGCAAAGAGGGTGGCATACTAAATGTTAGACTGATAAGTTACTCGACTCCAAGTCTATCCATTTTTAGAAGAATCCATACTAAGACTCTCACGATTTTATAGTTTGATAATTCTTTCAGTTAGATAATTGAGAGTTATATGCTCGCTAAGTGTTTAATCAAGAAAATTTGATGTAGTTTCGCTTGATTTTGGGATTTATGGCATGCATTAGCAGTTGGCTAGTATCTTCTATATTTCCTCTATATTATCTATATTACATTAAGCTAATTATGCATCCGAGTTGAAAATTATCTTACGTGAAATACAGCCACGTAACTTAGGGGAAGTATGCTGATTGGGTGCATCCGTAGATTTTTAGCCACTTTTACACATATCGGTATGCAAAACTGCGGCAACTTTTCGATTTATATACAACGCAATTAAAGGTTCTTTTTTTTCTCGAATACTTGATTCATAGCTGATTAACAGTAGAAAGGGAAACACTCGAGGAACAGCTGGCTGCACCGGCCTGAGAAAGGCTATTGCTACAGATTACACAGCTACGAATACTGCACCGCAAAGTCCGGAAACCTTACCCCGGAGTTTGCGGAAGGCAGTAAGTTTTAGCTTGCGGCCGGGGTAGAGTGTTAAATTTTCTTAAAATTCTTCTAAAGTGTACTTCTCATAGAAAAGTGATGTGGCATTGATGTTAAAGGCCTCGAAAGGTAATCATCGGCTCGCTTAGATAGGCCTCCTTACATCCTTTCGTCTTAGTCGGCGTAAGCGATTGCGGATCGGAAGCGAATGCGGATTTTTATACCTTACTACTAATTTTTGTGTACAAAATACAATTCGTATCGAACGTAAATTTCATGATCATGCAATATAGTATAATACTCTGTAAAGCATAGCACCAAAGGGAAGCGGTATCGGCTGTGCGAAGGAGGTCTGTTGATTATGCCACTGTTTTCCTTCTCTTTTACTTACAGAAGTTCTGACTTTATGAAGAGCATCAGTAGCAGAATGATTTGTTGTTGAACTTCGTATATAAGATCTGGCCAGACCTCACTCGCCAAGAAAAGACAGTGATATACTTTTGAAGTATACGGCGTCAGTATGTACCGTCTCCGTAAACTCATACAGATGGCGCGCTCCACCATATCGAGTTCCGCGTTGGCTTTGAAATAATACAAGTCAATCAATCACACTCCAATACTTCCTCGTGATCCATCACTACTACTCTAATTGAGTACTAGCAATAAAGAGTGAAAAAGGTTGTAAGTATAACATGGCTTAAAAACGAGAGCTGGGTTAAGGGCAGATGGCTTCGTAGGGGCCGACGATGCGGGCGGCGGCGGGGGCGAGGACTGTGAGGGCGGAGAGGAGGGTGGTGGTAAAGAAACGCATTTTGAGGGTTGGGAAGGTAAAGTGGTGATTTAGTTTGTTTTGTTTGGAGAGTAGAGGGAGGTAGGATAGATAGTTGGTTTTGGGTGTTGGTGTTGAAGAGAGGTTGCAGACTTCTACAGATGCTGATTGCGATTGATGCAGATGAAGGAGAATCTATGGGCAGGATACACACACATGTATATATACCTTTCTCTCTCTCTCTCTCTCTCTCTCTCTCTCCCTCTCTCTCTCATATCCGCCCCCCTCCCCCTCCCCATCCCTATTACAGATTTGTCACCACCTCAACCTCGAGAGCTTCTCAACACGAGGTTGGCGGTGGAGTAAAATATTAAAGTCTGATAATAATAATAATTGAGGTGTGTTTGAAATGCCTGCTCAGAAATGTTCAAAGATTTTTTTAAGAACGTTTTTTCATTATTCAATTCCCAATATATTGGTTCAAGCATAAGTTGGATTTTTTTTGTCTCTGTTTCTTATAACATTTTGTTTAAGACTTGGAAGATGGTAAATAGCAAAGCAGCAGTGAGTATAGCATATGAATTAATACTATTAAAGAATATGTACGCCAATTGTATTGACCTGTACGGACTTTGATTAATGTTCTTTAACGTGCATAAACTTTCTTAAGAAATATCAAAGTTCAAGGCATTGTCTTACTTTAAAACCGACCTTGATAGGCTTGATCTGCTTGACCTAATAAGCCATTGAATCATCTTATTTTTTCTTATGATTAAAGCATGCAATCTCGATAAAAAAATGTTTCCCGTAGTGAGTTTTGCGTCTGAGCAGGCCTGATAGGCGCACCTCAATTTAAACTGGACATAAGTATATCTTTCATCCACTTAGCCCAAGGCAGCCGAATGGTAGGCTACGGCTACGCGGTCTACCAAGGAGGGAGACGTCCCACGAGTACGGCTCTATCAACGACTGCTCCCACGTCTTTGACGCGGAAGCTGCAAAGGCATGAAAGGGCCTCGAACGAAAGATGCACACCTACCCGTCGGCGAAACGGATCTAGCTGAGTATCGATAGCACATCGGTCATCTAGTGTCTTCGCGGAAATGCCTCCTCATCTTCGCAGTAAGCGTTTTTGAACGTCCAAGGGGTGATGAAGACTCGAGACGTACGCATACGATGGTCTCCGGGGCACGTAGGGATCAAAGGAAACGAGCGAGCGGATAAGCTGGCAAACCTAAGAGCGAGGAAGCCTGACTGGGACACTGGTCTTGCTTCGCAACCTACTGGAGAATGGGGTACGCCCCGCCTTATAGAGACTATAAAAGCCTGTCAGATGCACGACGGAATAAGGACTTTGGGGCAACCTGGTGCGTTCCCGGGGGAACTTTTTCTTATACTGCTATCCTACCTATATCGTTGGGTTTTCTCTTAAAGTTTGGATCTTTGTTTTGAGTTTCATTTTCTTCTTGTACTGCTATATGCACTTGCGGCTAACCCTTGTACGGCCTTGATACTAGTCGCTCTACGACTCGCACAGCTACGCTTTAAGCTAGCTATAGCAATCTATACTTGTTTAACTTTATCTTATGGTTTTTCCTTAGCGAGAGGATTCCCTTTCATTATAATCAATCTTATCTATAAAAGAAAGGCGCAGACGATAATAGCTCTCGCTGCAGCACTTTAAATTGCTTTTTAAGGCCTTCTTATATAGAACTCCTTAGCTTAGCACGTCGCTGTACCCAATGGAAGGTCTCAAGGCGGCAGGCTTCGCCTGCTACCTGCCCGACGTTAATAAATACAACAACAACAACAACAATTCACCCACTTAGCCATCGGTACCCATGTTTCAAGGCTTTTTGTCCGTTTCCATCGTCATGCAGTTTTGCATTAAATTTCAACCAATCCATTTTATTGCTTTACGTATTATATTTTTATTAAAAAGAGCTTTATTGAGAAATAAAAAACTAACTCTACTCTGAGCAGGCGTTATTATAGTCGCATCTCAATCGTTGTGATTAGATATTTGTATATAGATAGATAGGTAGATAGATAGATAGATAGATAGATAGATAGATAGATAGATAGATAGATAGATAGATATATCAGTATAAATTTCATTCCCCCAAGCTATCGGAACACTCATTGATCTCTATTATCTTTCTTTGTTACTATTATATCATTTTTCTATTTTAGATTGCAAGTAATACAATTTAATATATAAATTATTGGGTCGCCTTGCGAAGCGATGGATTGCCATGGCAGCTTGATTTTATTGTTTAGCGAGCATGGTTCGTCAGGTAGCATTTTATATGGTGAGTGCAAGCTTGGATGGGGAGGAGTCGGTAAGATGCGATGCTGCGGCGTATTTCAGAATAAACGGGACAGCACCGATGATGCAATGATTTCTATTGGAGCTGCTATAAGATAGCGTCTACCAATTTAGCATTCGTAATTGTGAGTCCGAGATACGAGGACTGGAGCCTTTAGTCTATCCCCATCCGCGCCAGGAGGCACACTCGCTTGAGATGCCGGTTTCCACCTTTGGCACATGAAATTTCGAGTGATATAACTTTCAAACTTTTACTTAGATATATCCACAGAAATATAGGGTCTCAAAACTGCAGACCAAAGTCTATTTTACTCGGTTACATTGAAATGTTTGCCGTGATGCAGTAAAGTGAAAGCTCTAAGGGTCGAGGATTAAGCGAACGTGCCTCCTAGCGCTGAAAGGGACACAACGCCTTTTCATTTTGCCAGTGGACTCCCCCTCCCTCCTTCATAAATAGATCAGAGACATCAACAAAATCAAAGAGGTGCAAGAAGACACGAGTCGCGAACAATCATCCCGGTGTATCGGTATCATTCTTTCAAGTATTGTAAAGTAGCCCGTCGAATCAAGCTTTTCAAGATCGACCTCGCTAAATAAACAAGCTCTGGAAAACCTTATTGATATCCATTCGTATGCGAGTACCTACTTCCAAATTCACTTCCAAAGATTACGGAGTATCCACCCACCAAAGCTCAAAACAAATTACTGTATCCTTAAATTCCTCCAACCCAAGGAGAGTGAAAAAATATAACAACAGATCCAAGATCACGCTATCTCTAAATATATATATGTATATTTAAGAAGGTTCTTTTCTACACGCCACGCCAGCTCTAAGAATCGCCCGCTTATTCTCCTAACATTCAATGTACGGAGTATTTATTGCTCATCGTTTTCGAAAGGGAGACTCTTTTCTTTCTCGACCATCCGCCCACACAGTAAGAGTCTAGGTCATTATTTATAAATCGCTCTTAATTCTGAGTTTAAACATCTCCCGTGAATCGTCGCTGTGGAAATATATATATCATAGGTTGGTATCTACTTTCCTTTCCAAATTGCCGACTGACTACCGGTTGCTCAACTCGCAAACGCCAAGAGACCGAGAGACCAGGAGATCACGAGATCACAGCTTGCTCATTAGAAAATGGCTGACTACTTATTACATATGCTTTCGTTGACTGTACGAAGAAGTTAGCAAGTAAGCAACCTAGCAAGCCAACGCAAGATAACTAGGATAAGAGAGTAAGGAAATTGGCGGAGGATATATATATAAGTAGGTAAATACCTAAACTAGAGCTTGCGCGAACCAGCACCACCGCCGCCGGCCCTTCCCTATGCTATGTTATGCTATGCTATGCTATGTTATGCCATTTTGCCTAGAAACAAAACATTATTATACAAACAAATAAACAATCTATCAATCATCGCCGTCGTCAATTGAATTCCATCTCATCTCTCTCATCTCATCTCTAATCTCTAATCTCTAATCTCTCATCTCTCATCCCTCATCTCACATCATAATAATCATTATCCCGTGTCCTCCCCAACCCTTATCCCCTCCTCTTTACCAGATACCCCTTCATCGGCAGCACCAACCTGCAGCCTCCCTACTGCGTCCAACAATACGCCGCCGCTATCTATCGGCGCCTCGCCCGTACTCGGAACCGGCAGCGCATGCGCATCCGCCTCAGCCGCCAGCTCAAGGTCGACTTTACGTTCCGGGCTGCCCGCCTTCTTCACGTCGCTCGCCCCATCCGTCCCGAACCTCTGATGGCCCAAGAATCGGTCAATTTCGCTCGGCTCGGTACCTCGGGGACTGGCCGCGGTCCCCTTTCCGGCGATAGCCTCGGTCCAATTCCACCCTCCGCTGGGGGGTCTGGTAGCAGGAGTATCGCAACAGTCATCGCTATCAAACTCACTATCCGCCCAGTCCCTATCGCTCCACGTTGTCTCACTCTCACTCTCACCCTTCTTACCTCCCCCCGGACTCGGCAGGGAAATGGTCAACTTGTTTCCCGTCGGCGCCCTTCCCAACCTGCCAGGCCTGGGCGGCGAGCTCATATCCGGCACAGAGTCTATAGCTTCTCTGACTTCAGAGTCCGTACGTCTGGACTCTTCCAGTGGTTCATGCGTTTCGGGGTCGTTGGTTTCCCCGCCGTCTTGAGCTGGCCCTTCATTCGTATCGCGAGCGCGCTCAGCGTTACTCTCATCCTCGTCGCGGGTGTTTGCTGCTTCAGAGTCCCCGAAATGGGTGTCGCAGAGATGCTTGATCACAGGCCATCCGTAGGCATTTGCAAACATTCGTCTTACAACCATGTTATTATGCGCGTCCGGCTCCAGTCTTACAAGCACCTTTCGCCAAGAGAGATCGCGATGATAGGCTCGCGCAATCTTCTCTTCGACCTTCATAGCACTGCCATCAATGACATCGCGCGGGTCTTTGTCGGGGTTTGTATGTCGCGTGTCGTCGTAGTCATGGGTGGAGAGCGCAGAGTCGGTGTGCTTTGACCCAGTTGGCGAGGACTCTGTGGCTTTAAAGGAGGAGCGGCGCCCGATCGGGCGCTTCTTGAAGGGTGGTGGGGGAATGTCTTCTGGGTGATAAACGCGGTCGTGGAAGATTGTTCGTGCGCGCGATGAGGGGTTTATGATAAACTCGGTTGGTGGAAGAGGGGGTTTAATGATATCGCCTGCTGATTCGAAGAGGGTGGTCTTGGGAGGTGCTAGGAGCCTCTCGGGGTCTTCTTCGTCGCCCGTTGTTGCTTTGCCGCGTGAGTTTTTCTTTGGATAGGACTCCTGAGTGGCGATCGAAGAGTCAGATGCCACATCGGTTTCACTTCCCATACGCAGAGTCTGGCTGCGCCTGTAAATCTTTGTGTGCTTGGGATGATCATTGTGATGCTTCGGGCCTTGACTAGAAGCGGGGTTGAAAAACTTCATGATGCTTGCCAAAGGGCCTACATTATTCGTAGGCTCTGCCGAAGAAGTTTGAGAATGTTGTGCACCACCAGTAGCTGGTCTCTCAAAACCCTTCGGGCTTAGAACGTCATCCTCGAGTGTGGCATAGGGCGAAGGCTGAGGTACATCTCCTTTATGCCCCTCGGTGGTAGGAGTATTGACCCCTGTCTCTTCGGTGTCGCTGGCTACACCGTCTGTAAAAGCCCTTCGCGAAGGAGAGCTGGAGTTAGCTCCAGTGATCTCTGCCCAGCCCCAGCTTGCCATCGTACCGACTAAGCCGTTGTCTCTCCTAGCCTTCTCCACACGGCCCAAACCTTGCCAGTCCAGGAACAGAAGACAGCTCGTTCGTAGAGGAACCACTCCATCATTGACAACATTAGAGTAGACTGTGCGATTCCTGAACTTCTTCAGCACAACATGAGCCGGGCCTGTGGGTAATATCCGCAGCAAGGGTTTCGCCTCAGGAGCACTCTCTCTTTTATGAGCACTTTCCCCAATGCCCCCAACAATAGCACCCCACCCGCTTCGTGCAATTGTCGGTGCCCGCCAGGTCAAACCAAGATCCTTGCCAGTTCTTCCCACGAGGCCAAAGTCCAGCGCAAACTTGACATACATCGGATTCTCATTGCTAAGACCTAAGAACGGCGAAGCCATGGCAATGAAATTGATCGGCTCAATCAAGTCGAAGAACTCTGGCGAATGCTTCTGTATATATGCCACTGCATACGTCTGTATTAGACCACCCAGAGAGTGACCAATAAAGCTGATGCTCGTGAACTTATACGCCAATTTCGTTTCTATTTGCGGAGCCTTAATAATAGCGCTGTTATCGTGCGATGGCTGTCCACCGGCCTTGCCCGCTGATTTTCCCGCTGTATGCTCTGGTCTCATCGCATGCGACAGACTAGAGGCCGCGGATTTCTTGGTGACGGGTTTGTACGGCTGATCCGGGTAGGTCATCAGCAGAACATATTTCGCGAGTCGCTTTCCGAGGTATTTGATACCCTTTTCCGTTCGGACACAGTTTCCAGAGAAGCCTCGGACAACAACTTCCTCTTCGTCCTCATCTTCTCCCTCATCGGCTCCCTGGGTGTCGTTTTCAGCGCCTGTGTTATCCCTGTCGGGTCCAGGACAGCGTCCTCTCTCTTGCTTTCTCTTGGCTTTCCGGATCCTGGCATCGATCTTTGCTTGTTTCGCCGCTTCGTCGATACTCTCCTTCAAGAACAGCATGTCGGCCCCCAGATTGCTATGCAGTCCATGCGTCAATACGACCAAATGCACCTTCTTTTGCCTCTTCGTCCTATGTCCATCTCCTTCTTCATTCCCCTTCCCAACATCACCAGCGCTTTGAGCCGGCGCCGCATGCCCCTTTTCTCCCTCGTTGTTCGAATCCTGATCATCCCACTCCGGCATCCTAGGCGTATTCCACAGACTCGCCGTATCGTCCACCTTGACAATAATCGCCCGACTGAAGACCCCCTTCGGCAACTTCCCAGGTCCCTCACCCCTCCCCGTTCCCATGCCCAGTTCCTGCACACGCCCTTGCAAATCCCCCACCTGCCCAGCGGAACTCTTCTCCCCAGCCCCCGTCAAGCCACTTGCAAGCCCCAAACTCAAACTCTTCTCATCACGCCCCAGCAGCAGCTCATAATGCACGGCCGCCGAGTTCGAAAAGACGACCTGGCTCGAAACCTCAATGATCCAACTGACGCTCTTCTCTCCTCCCCCTCCGCCTCCCTTCCCCTCTTCCCATTCCCTGTCATCTTTCGAACCGGCAGATTTCTCTCGCCAGTCCACACCCCCCGCTGTCCCACGCACATTCTCCGGCACGGCAAGCTGCGCGCAGAACGTGCCCCCGGCCTTGAGGTTCGGCTCGAACTCCGGGACGCCGTAGGTCCCCGGCCGCTCAAAACGCTCGTTCGGATGGAAGCCCTTCGGGTAGGCCGCCACGTACAGGGTGTAGGGCCCGTGGACGAAGGCCGCGCGAAGGGCGATCGCGGATGTGTTCTTGAGCTTGAGGTGGAGGGCGTGCGGCGAGGGCAGGATCCGGTCGGCCGAGGGCGTATAGGTTACGGTGTAGCGGACGACCTCGCCGATTTTGAGGATGCCGGTCTGGTGGAGGAGGAGCATGTTCGTGGTGGTTTTGGTAGTTGGTGGTCGTGGTGGGACGGTGGTCGCGGTCGCGGTCGCGGTCGCAGTCGCAGTCGCAGTCGCAGTCGCAGTCGCAGTCGCAGTCGCGGGTCTGGTTTGATTTGGTGTTGAGAGGGTGGATTGAGAGTCACAAATTCATGGTAGGCTGTGCTGCTTGATATGGGTGTTTGTTTGATTCCGTGTGAAAATCGGATCCAGGACGTCTCGATGTGAGGAGTTGGGGGTGGTGACTTTAGCTTGGGAAATGTTGACCGGATGCGCGCGTGCAGCTTGCATGTCCGAGCTCTCCGCTGCCGAGACATGAATGACGAAAGTATGGATATCAAGAGTTTCGGAAAAGGCTTGTACGTTTCGTGCTCGTTATCGTATTAAGATCGTTATCATTATGGTATCTACCTATCTGCCTCTACAAAGAGAGCCACCGCGAAACTAGGTAAATTTTGTGAATATATGGCGGGAATTCAATATAAGCTCAGCCAACCGCCACAGCCGCCTCGCTTAAAAAGGGGGTATTGTTTGAATCGAAACAAACATCCGAAGCGTGAGCCACAGCCAACGAAGCTTTGAGCCAGCCCATCGTCTGCCATCTCAATATCGTGGTAAACCTCCATCGCAAATCGAGTCCACCAGATCCGAAACCATGTTCCCAATCAAGATCGAGGCACATTATGTAGGCCCATGCCCTTGCCAATTCCCCAGGGAAACGCCTAGGAGACCATTCATCTGCATCAAGCTGGCCACCAGGATCGTAGTATGAAATCCTTTCCATCAGGGCCACGCCCAAATTCCTTCTCATTCTCTCACCCAACAGCCTAAGAAACCATACTCAAAACTCCCTCCTCAGGCTCCACACCAGGCTCAACATGGCTCCTCCAAGCACTAACCCTATTGCCCCGTCCTCCAAGGCCAGCCAGCACCGACGGCCTTGGTTCCCTCACCTTAGTCCTCGATACTCTCGGCGAAGGTGGTATAAAGGGATCCCTTCCCGAGGGATCGTGCACCGCAGCCTCCGCTTCGTAATCGCCCCTTGACCTCCTCGGCACCACTCGGTCAGCAGCCCGAGGTTGGGCGTCATTGTAAGCTTGATCTCTCACGTTGTGTCTTCTCAGCACCGGCGGAGGAGGAGGGCCAGGATAGCGATCGTTCATCTGACGGACCGCTACCGGTGGACGAGCCCGCGCGTTAGCAACACCCATCACGTAATTGGCTGCCGCTCTCGCGTGGTCAAAATTTCCCGTTAGGATATTATGAGCTTCGCGCACATAATCCTGGTTCATAAAATGGCCCGCGCCGTTCCCGACGCCATGGATATCGCCAATGCCGCCTTGGTAGTCGTCATTGTGGTCGTCTGCTATAATTGCTCTCTGCATACGGCGAGCTAGGGCTTCGTCGCGGCGTTCTTGCCGTTGGCGTTCGGTGATTTCCTCCAAGTATGTATTTGGAGGCCTGGGCCTGCGGAGACGACGAGGGCGATCTTCCGCCTCGCCATCGATGGGCAAATCGCGTGGGATCTGCATGTGATTGAGCCTGTCTTGCTCGACGGCTTCGTAGTTGAACCACGGGCAATCGCAGGTTTTCCACTTGAGTCCACATATCATACAAAACTCCGCTGTACAATGACTACTCCCGTTAGCGAGATCCACCTCGAAGTTGCAGGAGGGACATACCAAGTCATATGATTACACCCCTCCTTCAGCTCAACCATCGTCCTACAGCTATAACACCTCTGCCAGCCGGCCTTTTTTGCCGTCTCGAGCAGTCTATTAGTCTCCTCGTCCTTCGGGCAATCCCTCGCACCGTGCCACTTCCCATTACACGCACAGCAGACTTTCGTCCGACACTGTCCACACTTCCCATACTTCTTCCCGTCTTCCTTGTGCATGTTCGCCGGCTTGATCCACTCCCCGCACCTCCTCGCTGGGCAGTAGATCCGATTCTTCGTCGAGAACTCCTGGAATTTGCGGTTCCAGGTCTTCTTGAACTCGATGTTGAAGAGTTTCTCGACATGCTTGAGTGGAATGTGCTCGACCGAGCAGCACTTGGGAGGCATGTGTGCAGGGTCCGTGACGGAGAGGCGGAAGCTGCGTTTAAGGCAAGAGTGGCACATTCGGTGGCCGCATTTGAGCTTTGCGGATTTGGAGCGGGGGATGTCGTCGGAGAGGCAGATTAGACATTCAATTCTGCTGAATGTCAGTATGCTGGCAACGAAAACGATGGCAAAGACCCACAGCTTCTCTGGTTCGTTGTGCAGCGGGACTCCTGACCCAAAGAACGAGCCCATGAAACTGGCTCGTCTCATCGCTGGATTACTCTCTGCTGCTGAGGATAGGTGTCGAGTAGAGGGGACATGCGTCGTCAATGTATTGCTCCTTCTCAGTGCCCGTATATCAGAATGCATCGTTCGTGTCGTAGCACTTCTATATTTCCTAATTCAGTCTTGCCACAAACCAAGGAAGGGGCGCATAAATACCTCTTCGGAGGCGACGGTGGCATCGCTTCAACACCAACAGGCTTCCTCCTCGACGTATTCGCTCTGCTCCTCCGCACCGGGTCTTCCTCCCTCACGGTTCTCACTTTCGGCTCCTTATGCTTCGACGCTTTTCCTTCCTCCTTCGTAGCATAGACCACTTTGATCTTCCTCGGGCTCTCTCGACTCGTCTTGCTCCTCCTCACCTCCACTATCTCCTCCTCACTACTAGAGCTTTCTCCGTTTCGTCCCAGCACCCTCGTCTCGCGCACTCTCAACTTCTCCGGTTTCCCAGCCTTCCCCTTCGGCGGTCCGTAAACATACTCCACTGCCTGACCCCCTCCCTTCCCCCTGTCCCTCCTCCTTTTTCCATAACTCTCACCCGACCTCCCCTTCGACCGCAGCGTCTCTCTTGATTCAGAAGGCATTATCTCGCTTTCAACAACAACTTCGTCTTTTTCTCCGTCTCGTCTCTCATCCTCGAGCCTCTCCCTCTCAGACCGATCCACCAACACCACCCTCCCTCTCCGCCTACCCTCTGTCCTCCCAGCCTCACAGCTCCGTGTCACCTCATCCTCAACCCGCCATTCGTCCCCGGCCCCTTCATCTGCGTGTGACCCGCGCCGCCGCCGTCGGCGCCCCTTCGAGTCAATCGCATATGAGGATTTCGCCATTCATTCGACATTCATTCATTTGTTCGAGCCCGACCCGAGCGTTGGGCTCTGTCAGAATGAGGCCACGAAGGGGGACAGACGGACATATGTTCGTGCTGGATAGGCGGCGCGTAGGCAGGTGGGTTCGACGTGGCGGGTCCGTACTGGTATCGGTTTCGGCTGGTGCACGCCGGCACGCAAGCAAGCGTGCAGATCTGCACGAAAAGAAAACAAAACGAAAACGAACAAGGAGAAGAGATGTACAATCTGGCGCAGCGCGTCTTCCAATTAAACTTTTCTCTTGGACTTCACGTGTAGCTAGACGCTTTTTTCCTTCTTTCTTCTTTTGTTTCTTTTCCGTCTTTTTCTTGTCAAGAGGATTTTTGATACAAGGGCATCCATCGTTGGAAGCTGTGTTACGTTGCTATACCGACTGGGATCAAGCTCTCCACGACATATCAACGATTAATTACTTTATTACTCATATAGACCCCCTCATTTTACTGGTCGGGGAATCAAAACTACTGAGCGTTTGGACTATGAAAACGAACTATCGAATATCTCATATGTAATCGCTTCTGGCGTTCCCCGGTTGTGTTGTACATGAAGAGTAGGTTTCACCGCCACGGGCTTTGTTTGCAGCGACCCGTCGAAACGCGATTTACAAATTAGGAAGGATATGCAGGGCTTGTTCACCACTTACATACACCTTTCTCACCAAGCCTGCAAGCGAGAAAGAATATCTTCATGACACGCCATGCTTTTTGAGCTCCGACGTGCTCATTCTATTCTATCTAGTTTCCTACAGATCTATTTTACAATGCGCCTCCCCTCTACCTGCTCCCACACCTCGCAATCCCTCCTTTCCCTATTCGGAGATTCTCCACGCCCTGAGAGGCAACGCCTGCAGTCTCAACGCCGCAGGCTTGATATACCCCCAAAAAGTCACCACACCGATAATCACACACACCACGTTCATCACGTAATATCCATCCGTCGTGATATTGCACGTACCGCCGCCTTGGATGCACCTGTCTTTCTCGGCGCTGGCGGAGCAGGAAAAGGCGTTGGTTACGAGGGGCCCACGGAGGTTTTCCGGAAACTTGAAGCCGACCCCGGGCGGAATGCAAGAGGCTACCGTGAAGGCGTCGACGAGTTTGAGGACAAAGAAGCGGGGAAAGGTGCCACCGAGATTGGAGACCCTGTATCATGTCAGTCGGTTTATTACAGAGTGACGAAAGATCATACGTAGCAAGCAGAGTCATATAAGTCCCTCCAATAACAGGGTCTGCGATCCGAGCATGGAATGCCGAGACAGCAACGAACATAACCGTGTTAGTGAAGGTCGAGAAAATATGTGATGCGATGACTACGAGTAGATACCAGGTATCAACGCCCTTAGCTGGGAATATTACGACCGTAATTTGCGCCAGTACGGCTGCAACAAGACGACCTATGAAGCCATAGCACCAGAGCCGCATGGGCGTATAAGTTGTTGACCATTTTCCAGCATAGTATCCGAGACCGATCTCGAAGGGAAAGTCGATGAGGACGGTGAGAGCGAGATCTTCCTGGCTGAACCCCTTGTCAATGAGCTTAAGATTTGTAACGCCGTCGTTGGCTTGGAAGCCGATTTTGGCGATCAGGTGGATAATGATGATAGTCTGGATGTTCTTCAGCTTCAAGACTCCCCACATGACCTTGTACACATCCCAGATGCCGTCCTCGTTCTTGGTCTTCTCCTCTTTCTTGAAGACCGCAAGGCCGATGGTGACCAAAATATATGCCCATCCCCAGAATGTCAGATACCCTGCGAGAGTCATGACACCTTCCGTTGAAGGCGATGATCTAAACCATTTGTTGGCGAAATCGGGCGAGTTGAAGGCAAGGAATACAGTGTATGACATGAATTGGCCAGCAGTTAAGCCAACCGTCTGTGCTGTTGAAGCGTACGAGATATTGCCTGGAGTTAACAAGGTCAATGCCCAGCCATCCACAGCAATATCTTGTGTTGCACACATGAAAACCAGGAAGAACCACCATCCTGTAAAGCCCCAGATCCCAGCACCACCGTCCGCACCAGCTGTAGCCATCATTTCCTTGACGTTTGACCCGAGCCAGAGCATACCAAGCCCGGACATCATCTGAATTGGCATGATCCAACTCTTCCTTCGCCCGAACTTTGGACTCCAGCATGCATCGACCACCGGACTCCACAGCAGCTTCAGCGAGTATGGGTATGAGGCCAGGCTGAAAACACCCAGCGCAGAATACGACATGTGCGGCTTCAGCAGAAACGGCACAGATCCGAGTGCCAGCCCCATCGGCACCCCTTGCAAAAAGTATAGGAGAACCAGCAGCCCGAAGTTCTTCTGGTCCTGTAATGGCAACTGAGAAAAGCCATGGTTATTCAAGGTCGGGGATCCTGGAACTGGGTCATCCAACGTAAAGGAGTCGCGGGACATCAAATTCGCCGTAACATCAGGGGACTCGAGTGAGGCATTCTTGCGCCTGTATTCCACGTTGTTGTTCATACTGCCGCTCCCGCTCGACCCTCCCGAGGCCTGCCCTTTGGGATCTCCGGATCGCTGCCGCCTGGATTTGGCAGCCATGGAAGGATCTTCGTCCTCAGACGAGTCTGTTGCGAGCAAACGGTGCTGGTCCTCGGGTCTATCTGCTGCTACTGCACCGGCGGGGTCTCTTGTGTAACGTGGGAGATGGTCGAGTTCTTGCGCGTGAGGATATTGCGAGTCGTGGTCCTGGATATTACGACGAGGGGGAATGGATATCGAGGGGAGCGTGTCGCCGAGGGAAGGCATACATGTATTTGTGTTGGAGGGACGCAGAGCTCTAGAGACTTCGTAGCCTCTAAAGATCTACGGCACCGCGCTTTGTTTGGGCAGGCAAAGTCGGTCGGGGATAGGTGTGGATCACTCTAGCGAACGTGGCCTCTTCGGTCAACGAGGGGCACAGGAGCCGGGCAAGGAAGGGAAAAAAATAGAAAGCCAAGATGGGCAGGATGGGAGGCAACAAAGACGGGAGTTTTCAGAAAATTGGCAACAGCTCAATGCGGACTTATCGATTGTTGAAAACAGATTGATATGTGAGATGAGAACGTGGTGAAGGCAAAACGCACACGACTGCACCTTGTCCTGACTGCTCTTCGTATCCTGGGCTGAGATCCATCACGTGATCTGGCGCTGGGTGCGCACATCAAACCATAGACGCGGCGCGCTCTATTTTGACGACGGCAACTCATTCAGTACTACAGTATCGGCTGAGTCTGCTACATCAAGCACTTATCATTCGTTATCATGCTTCTCCCAACAGACGCCCCTATCATAGAAGAAGATGATACGGTCGGCGAGCGGCTCGACAACGAGATATCCTCACTTCGGGAACAAAGTAAACATCCTCTCCAATGCTCATTCATTTGCCCTGCTAACAGATCCAGTCCTTGCTCTCAAAGCCCAACGAAAACTCCAGGCATCAACAATTCTCTCCTCCCGCCACACCCGCGTAACCCTGACCCGCCTCCTCGCCTCCCAAAAGGCCCCCTCCTCTCAGTCCTCCATCCCAGCAGACGCCGACCCCCTTCTCGCAGCCTCCACCGCGCAGCTGGCCCACAAACAAGAGAACCTGTATCGGACATGCGCAGGCATCACCACCTTCCGCGTCCAGGATCCCGATCCAAACTCTGTCGACGGTGGCAATGTGCTGGGCATCAGGATCGACGTGTCGAGCACAGGGAGATTCATACGCCCCTATTACGTTATGCTGAACAAACCCTGGAAGGGCTCTGCACTGCTCCGTGTGCATCGACATACCTTCCCCCCGGCAATTCCGCTCGCGGCATTAGCAGAGAAACATCTACCTCACGGAAAGGGCAGCGTAGCCATGTCTGCCCCAGACGGGGCGGGGAAGAAGCAGGATCTTCGTCGTTTCGTTAGAGCCCTGCGAAGAGAGGTGATGGGCTATCATAATCGAGTGGCCGTAATAAAGAGTCTGCGGCGGGAGTTCAAGCTTGATGAGAAGGTCTCGAAGAAGGGGAAGGGCAGGGAGAGGGTAATTTCTGATATCAGCGCTGCTGACGCGGAGGCCAAGCAGGTGCGGATTGAGTGGGCGGATGGTAGGATTGGACGCGCGGTGGTGGACGAGAAGGGGGAGATGAGGAACTGTGTTGTTATTGGAGAGGATGGGCGGGATAGGGAGACGGAGAGAAGAATTTCGAGTGGTTCTATGCAGGGTATTGGAGAGAGATTGAGGGAGAGTATGTATTGATGATGTGCGTCTTGGTGTTGGAGTTTGCTTTAGGTCTGGTAGATACCCGCGGGAATCGCAGTCTGTTCATACCTGGCCGCTTCGATCAAATGACCGTGACCCGAAGCGCTGGGTATGCAGTGATAGTGGAGGCAAATGGATAGGAGGCGTTGTTGGCGGGAAGGGAGTAAAAAAGTCGAGTTGGAGAAAGGGGATTATGAAGGTGGGTGTCAAACTTGAGGTAAGGGCTTGGCTCTCTTTCGACGCGCAGAGAGCGTATGTAGGTTAATGGGAGGAGTTACAGTAGTTGCATTCGTCAGCCTTGCTGCCTCCTATCCTTACGCGAGATGGCCATTTTGTTGATGCAGGCTTTGGACACTGCATTTCTTGGTTAAGGGAAAGACACGCATGCTATGGATCATTTCCTCAACAGCTCATATCTATCTTACCACCGGTCCTGGTATCACTCACTGGATGTCGACCATACATATTTCGTCCTAGGGCGAGGAAACATGATAAGATTATTCCAAACACAACTTTACAGACTTCTGAATAATTTAATGACTCTAAAGTTTCTCTGAGCCCTACTCTGTCGTGTTTCTGAAACGATATGTATTGTTATACTCTCATACTGCTGTCCTCGTCACTTTACTTTTACCTTTCAGCTTCGCCACCCCCACCATAACCAGGTGCCCTGCTCACCGTTAACTTCGAAATGAATCGACGGCGCCTCCTACAATATATCTTCAGCGCCAGCACAGCACAGTTGACGTAAAGGGCAGTCGTTCTCCACCGCCAGTATGCGAATTAATCCCATACGAGACGGCCTGGCCAGCTGTCTCAAAGACACAGAAAAGCACTCCTGTTTGGGACGAAGCTTTCATCTCTGTCATAAAAGTACCGAGGATTTAGTACAGCGAGAGCTAGCACCGGTAGCCGGTTATGAAGATGGTGAGGCAGAGGAGGTAGCCTTCGGTGTAGCGGGCGCCACTACTTTCGAGAGGTGTCAGTGCTGGTTCGGTATTTATGGAGAATAAAGAAGATCTTACTGTTTGTAAACCAAAGGTGCTGTTCCGGTGCCGAGCTTTGGGGTACTCGATGCGGATCCCGATGAAGCAGCCTGCTTGCTGGATAGGCCACAAGGCGAATACGATCCAAGCTTGTTGTAGCTGAGAGAGTTTATTTCATTTGAGGAGCTTCCCGTATACGCGACTACTATGGGGTCCATGACGGTCACACACTTGATGGTTCTGCATCTTTGTTGCTGGACTGCTGGCCAAGCTCGCCAATGGAGTGTTTTCATTGGCTCAACAGCCGAGCCCCTGAAAGCCGGTTCGGCAAAATTTCCAAGTCTCATCCCTCAATCCTCACCATGAAAGCCAACAGAAGACGGCCAATTTGATCCAGGAGCAACATAAATAAGCTCAACGGCCTGAAAATTAGGTAACGAAGAGTCACTTACATCCAAGTTCCTATCCCGTTTGTACTGCGGACATAGAGCTAGCCCCAAGCAACAACCGTACAGATGTTTGCCAATTCCGTCATGTCGACGTGGTATTTTTTCAAGGCATCCTCGACATGCTTAACAAGATCCACTTTCTTCTACTCGTATACCTTGACGTTCAAGCCAAGCAGATTAGGCAAGGTCAAGTTCTCCTTCTGTTCCCAATTCTTGATCGAGGTGAGCATCAATGTCGAAGCTTCCTCGCTCCACTTGATCCAGATACTCTCTCTCTCATCGTTGTCGCTGAGTGGGCCCGTCAGCTTCTTATATATCCAGGCCCGTAGATCATCCTGCGTGGTCCTTTGAAAAGCTCAATGCTAGGTTTGATTATGTAACAGCCAAAAACAGACCTCCAAAGGGCGGAAAGAAAAGACATAGCTTACGCGCGATCAAGTTTGAAGTAGATATTCTTCTTTTCAGCTCAAGGCTTCACCGAGGAGCAGAATTTTAAGGAAATTCAAAACATCTAACAATCTCTCAAAACGGCCATAGTTCCTCGTACTCTAGCACGATTCCGAAACATCTGATACCCATCTGATATTTCATACATTCTCACTCAACCCCTGCTCTACATAGCCAGCTATGCTGCTCAGCGCCGACCTTCTTCATTGCGATCTTCCACTCTTTATTTGAACGCTCCTCCAACCAAGTCTTCACGTACTCCAACAGCTCGCCACGCAAAGCCACGAAACCCACCTTTGGCCTTGCCAGAAAATCCCGGGTTTCCATGTCCCTGCCCTCTATCCACTGCGTGACAGCTCCAACCAGGTCTCCCGAGACGCCCCAATGCATGTCCGCACGCCTGAAACGCAAATTCTGCATATCCATCTCGGGATCAGCCAGAACCGGCGCTTTGCAAACCAGCATGGACCCAAAGCGTCCATTATTCCCCCACTTCCCATACCACAGGAGCCTCTCAACTCGAGTGCCGTAATACTCTTCCCACAGAACGACAGACAGCCTCGTATTAGCCCTTCTCCGCACCCGTGAAGTCCAGCGCAAAGACATCTGGCCCGCCAGCGACCAGTGACGTCTTCAGCGAGACCTAATCCAAAGCATAAGACGGGTTGATCTCAGGCCACTCCAGGCTGCCCGTAGCTGATTTCCGGCGTCATTCGAAGCTGCTGATCCATTCTTGGATTCGTGACACACTTCCTCGCATCTGGGATTAGATCCCTGTGGTTTTCCGTCGTCAGGCTCTGATTTGAGAGAGGATGGATCCTGACTCGTCTTCCTATGTACCTGCGAGAATGTACCTGGTGATCCCGTGCATACATGGCCAACGAGTACTTCCCCGCACCGTAAGATAGACACAACCTCTTGCTCTCGGGCTACCGGTGGTGATAGCCGTTTGGGAACTTGCAGAGGTAGTCCAAAGCGGTATGTTCTCATTCTGGATGCGCTCCGGCATCCTGAACGGTGATTTCTGCATCGCTACACTCGATGTTATCGATTTCGATATCGAATATCTGCTCCCGGTAGATGTAGAATATCTGTTGAAGAATTGCCCCGGCGCGTTAGAAATTTTTTCTCATGTAAATTTTCCTGGACCACGGCATATGGGGCGGCTTGGTGGGCTTTTGGGAATTCTTGTGAGCTGTAGAATGTCCTGTGCTTACTACCATCTCCGAGCCTGGGGCATCTTTACAGACGAGGCAGCAGAAATTGGGATTGACATTTCTCGCATAGGAGCCACATGGTCCGCCTCCCATAGGTGTAGTTGCTGTGGATTCAGGCAGCAATATTCCGACGGGTTGGTCCATTATTGGCGGGTTTCGGTGGCCAAGTTGGAACTTCTTCTGCGGTTCAATATTCTGGCGATGGGAGGCTCTGGAGCTGAGTCTGATATTACTGAAATAGAAGAAAGAGAAACAGGAGAACATGATCTTTCAAAGAAGAGGAAGGATCAGGATGGAGAATACTTGAACGATATAAGCTCAAAGTGTTACAAGACGCTGTCCATCGACCGCCGCCAAGCTATTTGGGCACACCTACAAGATTATCAGTAGAACACTATATTTTCAAAAGGGACTGTCCAAGAACACAAGACAGACAAGTAGACGAGCAAATGGCACCTCTTGATTCCAAGGTCATCGCAAGGAGACAAGTTGTTGCGATGGAAAGGGAATTTTGCAATATCCTTTGAAATACTGCCAGGATACCGTCACCATCATCAAAGACGCATTGCATAATTCAACCCAGAGGAAACACAAAAAACGAGCAGCCAACGCGCAGCAGAATTCTGAATATCTCCCACCCAAGGACTCAAGCTACGGGGTATTCTAGTTGTCAACGTCCATCGTTTCCTCCGTCTCGGCAGCGAGGAGCTGGGAGAATCCGTCGTGAACCACTACATTCGTCGCTTGCCTCTTGCGTCTGGTTGTGTGTTTATTCTTAAGCTTCACGCGCTTGGTCGTCGCGGCGGCGGTCTTCTCTGCAAGATGATTAGCGGATGGCTTCACTGGGTGGGGATAATACCACCTGCGGCCTTAAGCTTCTTAGCCAACCCACCGATGTTCAACGTGATGCGTGCCTTAGGTTTGCAGAGCGGAGGACCCATGGAATCGAAGACGTCGTCTGCAGCCTGAGCCGGGGGGATGTATGGGGTTGTGTAGGAATCAAGCCCGCCGATCTTCTTGGGTGCTTGTTGAGTTTGAGCAGTACAGGTGGTGTTCGAAGTGGTGGCGGTAGCAGCAGCAGTTGGAGTGGAGGCATCAGCAATTGTAGAGGCAGCAGCATGCGAGTTCTTGGCTTCCTTCAACCATTTCTTCTTCAGTATCAGCATTGTATTTCACACAACTTATAGAGCTGGGAATTTATCAAGAGCTCAGCCCTGAAGAGCGCCAAGTCTCAAAATATTGAAGGTGAAGGGATGGGGGATAGGAGATACACATACAGGCTTCTCCCCATTGCGCACCAGACGCACCCCATAGCCGCTGACATATCGCGGAGGCGCCACGAAGCTCTCATGTAGAGGACTTGGGAGAGAAATGTGAGCTTCATCGTCGGTCTCGTCAAATGCTGGCTGATCGAGCGATTCGCGCACTGGCAGAAGGGGGTAATCCGTATTCGGGTGGAAAGCTTACCAGTCGCATGCTACTGTATCTCCTTGTCCCATTTTGACGGTCGTCGATCTGTCATTCAGAGGTGTTCGGAGTTGAGTTTTTGAGAGGTCGGGATGGTAACGTTAGGATAGGTAGTCTTTGTTTGGTCGGGAGTCGCGTCAGGAACCCCAAAATCGACTAGTGACATTTTCGGCTTAGCGCGTTCAAGAGATTTAGCCTTGCGGCGTCCCGATATGACAATAGCCATCTTCTGTAGGACCGTTCTCAGCCCTCTACCACCAGGATTTATGCTTTCACTATTTTCTTTGAAAGCAAATCGATTTGCTCATTCTATGCCAGCTTTGATTCCATCGACTGTCCAGGGGGTCTATAGTTAAGCGAGCATGTAAACAAAGAAGTAAGCAAGGGTGAAAATATCAACAATACATACTAATGTGATCCAAACAAGCCATATATATGTATCATAGTGAATTTGAACATCTAGGAAATATTTTCTCACTTCTCTAAGACCAATCGCCGGTTCAATTGCTCTAGAAAGATGTGTAGTTCCAAAAGACCACAGCTCTCCTGGAGATTAAACACTCAACAGCCTCTGGGGTCTCAGCAGTCTAGATAGCCCTTAATTACTCTCAACACTGCAAGAAATTATCTGATATCCTTTATTTCACTCGAGAGCTAGGGAAAATGTCCTCTCGCAACCATAGAATTGTAGTTCCGTAGAAGCTCCCCTGGCCCAGCCCCTGTCCCGTTGTGATCTCCTGACTTGCTGTCTCGAAAAAGAAAAGAATTTTCAACGCAAAACCAGTCCTAACATTCCATTTCAGAGCTAAATCGATTATGGAATCAGTCAGCAGCGGATACTCTTTTAGATAATGCTCGAACAGATTGAAAGGTTAAATTCTTCTCCTCCAAGGAAATGTAGAGTAGATCCGAAGTTGTTTACGCTGGGCTGATTGACAACCTTTGAATAAAACGCGGTAATCATGCTAATACTTGAATAGTTTCCCGTCAATCGTTTCACGATGCTATAAGCAACATCCACAAAAAATGGGTTTGCCTCAGATGGATCAGAATGGAGGTTTCATTATACCACGAAGGGGCAAGTAGCTATCGGATCTATGCATCCAACTCGACCAACTTACGAGGTGTAAGTGAGCCAGCTACAAATTCTCAAGACCACTCAGCATTTTCAACCCTCCCTCACGCCTTGACCAGAACGATATTTTCTTCAGCAGATTATTTCTCGCAGAAGCTCTTGGAGTCAGGGTTCAGCTTGAAGCCACCCTTGCCACTCTTGTCGCCATTGCTAAAACTGCCCACCTCATCGATGTGCCGCTGAATCATGTAGCTCAGGTAGTGTACCAATTCATCCTTGCGCAATTCGAACTTGTAGCGGGGTAGCTGGAGGAGATCCGCAACATTGGTGCCCTGCAATCAGAGTAATCCAAGTCAGTAAGTCTCGTGTCCTCGCTCCTCAGAGAAGTACTCGTTGTGGCGTCAGATGATAGGACTCACGTATTCTCTCTCCCACTTCCGCGTATCACCAACCAAGTTCCCCCCAACATAGTGGTTGAGACGAGCAAGCGCCCCGGTGCCGTTACTCATCCCAAGACTGGCCAGGGTCTTGGCGCGCATCGAATCTGCGGAGCCGTAGTTGGAGGCTGGGAGGTTGGGCCGGCCGCGGAATTTCTGGTAGTTGTCGTAGTCGTCGACTGACTGATCGAATCCGTAGGTGGCGCCACAGAGATCGAAAGCGTAGACACCATGGCCGTCCTTCAGCGTGATGACGTAGATGTAGTGGTTATAGACAGAGCGCCCGACCTTGCCCTGAATATCGACGGAGACGAGATCTCGGCGCTGAGTTGGAACCACGCTTTGCTCGCTCATTCCGAAACCAAAGTCTAGAGTCTTCAGTTAGACATTCGCTCTCTGCTAGGTATCTATCTATACGTGTGTATAGACAAGAAGGCGGGGGAAACTGCAATGCTTACCTGTCAAGAAGTATACCAGCATCTCATGCATCCAAGTGACAAACACAGGGCTTGCCAGGTGCACCAGGAGTGCCTGCTTATACTCCTCTCCAGCTTCATTGTCCACAAATAAGTGCTCTGGGAATGGGTGGAGGTGATCAATATCCTTGAGCATAGGCTTGTAGCATCCTGCCTCTTCAATATATACTCTCTCATAGTTAAAGTGCTGTTTCTTCTCGATGCTACAGATTGGTGTGTCAAACATCTTCTTCCTGTAAACATAGAAGACCTCCTGCAAGATTTCTCCAACGCGGTATGTGGTTCGCCGAGCATTGAGTAGCTTGCAAACATGTTTGTGGCGGTCCCAGTCGGCAACATTGCATTCAGTTGAGCAGCTGGGAACAGAAAGTCAGTATCGCTTCTAATTAGCTCTTCCACGATCTAGGACATGGTCGCTGTTGTTCGCCGTAGATCTCAAGTCCCTGGTGCTTCTGATGAATGGGATTGAGAATCGAAGGTCAAAGCAAACTTACTAGTACATGTTATCAAAGCCAGCTACATCACAGCAATTCTTGCAGACGTTCTCCGCGGGCTTTCCGCATTTGACACAAGGCTGCGTATTGGACGTGGAGTTCATGTTGAAATTTGCTCGGGGATTGAACACAAAGACAGGATTGCTCCTATCTTGGCAGCTTGGGTTGTAGCCATAGATCGGCTGATTGTGGAGAGTCTGGGAGGCCTCGGTGCCTGTGAGAGAGGAGTAGGCTGGCATGGCAAGATCTTGCTCAGTCCAATCTCCATGAGGGGGACAGGATCTGATAGCAGCTTGCATAGCACGATGCAGCTCCTGTTGAGTCTGGCAGGGTTCGGGGTGATTACTGTCATCGTAGGAGTGGTAAAAAACCGGACGAGCAATGAAAGGGACACGCCTAGGTTCCATATTAGCGGCTTCGTGCTACGATCGAGCTCACAGCGTCGTCGCAGAGGGAGTGAGAGAAATAAGGTGTAAGAAGTGAGCGTGGAGAAGTTTGTGTCAAAGTTCAGAGGTGTAAAGATCGCGCAAGACCCCAAAATCGCAGCCTTGTGGGCGAAAAGTTCCAGGAGACTACGAGCTCGCCTATTGACATCAACAAAAAGTGACAGGGATTATTCTTTATGGAAAGCCGAGGCTGTGTAGATAGCCCCGTGGATTTTTAGAGAAGCGAAGTTGCTCAACTTTTATTTATATGGTAATTCTTTCGTTGCCGCTTGCCTCTAAGTCTTTGACGCTTTTATCATCATCTGGGAAAAAAGCATCAACGGGACTTCACCTTCAACGGCCAAAAAGGGTAGATAAAAAAGGGTTTGTTTACTTGTATGCCCACCTTGTCTCTTTAGTCAACTTCAGGAATCCGAACTGTTCAACGTACGAAACTCAGCACTAAATTCAAATCCTCTTTGATCTCAAATTGACCGATGAATCGATCAGTAATGCCACGTCGAAATCTCTTGTCAGCGCTATCAAACCCGTATACCGCCGACTTCAAGTTGATATCTCGCGGGGTCTGGTATCGACGATTCGAGTCTGAAGGAGAAAATATTTGAGATAAACAGGCCGAGGAAGAATCAGTTTAATGCACTGTTCCGCATGACTTGGATACCAGGAGAGGAGGAGCACATGTATAATAATTCGGCCAGTTCGGAGTTGAATCGATCAGTACAGAAATAGAAGCACAGCGGCATGATATAGTCGGACAGAGATCGATAGGATCAAGATTGTATTTGTTGAGACACGCTACATCATCACCAAGACTACCTCTGCTCTGCAGCTATACTTTCCTCAACGAAAATATCAACATTCACGTATACCAGGTGACCTCAGGAATCTAATCTCTTGTCAGTACTCGCAGCGCAGAATTCCACTCAGAAGAACAGCCTACCTTATCCAACAACACATATTCGCCCAACTCCCTATTCTTATACGCCACAGGATCGTGCAGCGAATGCGTCCTGACATCCCTCCAAAACCGATCCAGCCCAACCTTCTTTCCTGTCGCTCGACTGCCCGTAACCTCGAACACCCCTGATGTAACCCTGAGCGCCGTATCCGTCGTCACCACCTTGACACTGGCCACCCACTCCGCGGCATCGCCTCGCTCCCTCTCACTGATCGTCCTCTTCTCGCCATGCTTGGCATACACGTCCTCCGAAATCACCTTCCCAGCACGGTCAGCCAGCGCCTCAGCCGCTCTGAGATGGGCAAAGAAGTTCCCGTAGCGCTCAAGGATGTAGAACTCTTCCGTGGGCGAGTCTTTGTTGTCGCCGCCGTAGGGCCAAGCGCGTGTCGCGGTGGTGGTGTACTTCTTGGCGAAGTCGAGGGAGCCTTGGGCGATGCCAAGATAGAAGTTGGAGAAGACGAGCTGGATGGTGGGGAGGAGCAGCGTGGCGAAGGGGATGGAGAGGTATGCTGGGTCTGGGGCTTTGGTGTTGACGTCCCAGCCCAGGGCGTCGGCCCAAGGAACACGGATTTTATTGATGCGGACAGAGCCGGATTCTGTAAGACGGAGACCAATGTTGTTCCAGTTGTGCTTAGGAAATAATGTTAGTTCATTCTTCATTCTTTCTGGGTAGGGAAATTCAGAATCGGGGGCGGATAAGGAGAGGGACCTACTGCGAACTCCATGCCGGGCTGAGCGGTGGGAACGAAGGCAAAGATGTGATCGTCGGTACCTGCGTAGACACCTTCCAAGACAGTAAGATCCGATATAACGCCACCGGTATTGAAATTCTTAAAGCCATCAAATATCAGCTCGCCACTCTCTTCGGTGATGCTCAAGTCATTGTCCCGGGGGTTGACAGCACCTTCGTCTGTCAGTAAGTTACTCCCAATTTAAATCCAAGATGACTTACCTCCAACAAAGTAGTTATTCTCAATAATCAGTTTCTGGATTCTCTCTTTCTGCTCCTCAGTCCCTACCACGTTCGCCGTCGTACTCCACAACAAGTGATACCCCAACAGCATGCCCAAACTCCCATCGCCCTTCGCCACCTCTCGGATGACCCTATAGCCAACCTCCCAGCTTTGTCCTCCTCCATCGAATTTTCTTGGTCCAAGAACTTTCAAGAGCCCGGCACTCTTCAAGAGTGCAACTTCTGCTCTGGGAGACCTACTCCCAATGTCTCGCGCAGCAACATCTTGAGCCAAGATCTCGCTTACGTGGCGAGCGCGCTCGATCCACCCTTCCGGAGTGGAAGGGAGACCGTCGCTGGTGAACTTCTGGTGGAAGATATCGTAGACAACGGGATCCGTCGCAGGGTTGGGCTTGATCTTCTTGGCCTCTGGCTCGACAGCGGCTCCATTACCAGCTGCCAACGAGGTGCGTGTTGGTGCCATAATGTTTTTCTGTTTTCACTTGTCGATTATCGAGGATATAAAAAGCGACAGATTAATGGTCAAATATCTCAGAGATATGGTGGGGCTGTAATAGAACACTTGAATGAATATATCAGGTTGAATCGTAGATACAGCTGAGCTGTACCAAGGGAATGATGCAACTCGCCTGTCTATGTGCGCCATATTCCTTCGCCTGCACCTCGGAACGTTTGATCATCCACTGGAGAAAGCTGGTATGGGTTACGTGATGCGGTAGCTGAATTTCCCGCATCAAAACATCCCGGATCGTAGAAGTAGCTGGTGCGTTGATAGACGGGACTGGACCAGGGTCGACGACCACGATCACGATCACAATCACGATCACGTCAGGCTCGGGCTTCGCACTCGCGGCACTTGGAGAAAGCGATACAAGGAAACCGTAATCTTACCTGATCAAAGAAGCTCAAACCTTTTTTTAACCGAGAGCTCACAGGTCCATTGTCAGTGAGTGCACTGACTATTGGCCTTATATACGTCCAAGTGCTCTATGCGAATTTATATGAGGTAGAGAGAACAAAAGAGAAGTTGGCAAAAACATACAACAGCAGGTATTCGCTGGTGGTCACCCACCCAACTACTAATCTGCCGATCTGAGGCTTGTGTATGGCAGAGCGAACGGGATGCCCAATTCTCCTCAGTCTATGGTCGTATGTATCAGTTGGGGAAGTATCTGGTATTGTATTGTTTAAGAAATCTGCTCCGGTTTTCTCCTTTTCTCAAGATTCGATGGAGGCTGGTTCGGTAAACACCAAGTTGGAAGGGGCGCTCTGTCAGCATGATCGAGCTGCTCCTCGTTCCCAAGCGCGGTAGTTAATCCTTTACAAAGTGAACTAACTACCCAAAGACCGAGCCCCAAAGACTCCTAAGTTAAAACAAAATGTATATCGATCTTCATATCCAAGCCAATCCAAGGCTACTTGCCCATTAGTCAACATGTACCGGTACAACTTACAGTACCCCAGAACAAATAATACACAAACATTTATTTCATACTAAAACTTTTCTATTTAAGAGCTTAAATTTTTTAACAATTGTAGGCTTTGAAGGACATATAAAAATCAGAAGCCTTTAATAAATACGAATAGCTTATAACTATAAAACGGTTTTTAATCTATATTATCATTTAATAAAGTTAGGTAAAGCAGAAAGTATAGAAAGTTGGCTTTCGCTTAGTATTTAAAGTTAACCTTGCAAATTTTTAAAAGGATTGAAGAAAAAGAAACCGAGGGGGACGATTTCAGCTCTTATCTTATGCATCTAGTTCTATTAAATAAGCAGATCTAAGCTTAATGGTCCAATCAATTTGTTCTTCGAAGTTGGGATTAATAGATTCTGATTAATATAGATTTTCTTTTCGAAGTATTGACCTTTAGCTTTGGTGCGAGAAGGGGGTTTATGCATTATAACATCGTTAGTACTGCACCTGAAGGACTTCCACAGCGTCTCCGAGACCCCCTCCCCCCGCTCCCCTTCTACATCTACACACAATACGGTATATCCAGTTCCGCACCACCTCCAAGCCCGTCCCAAACCAAGGGGTTGCAATCACGTCTTTACGTGCATCGATTGCACAATGCGCACCCAGTCTCTGTCCAAGCCGAATGATGCGACAATAAACTTTCTCGGCGGCAACTACTCGTGACTCCACAATACTCTAATAGTGGGCCTTGACGTCGCAACTTTTGGGGCCCTTCCTTAAAGTGGGCGAAAAAATTATGTCCCGCGAAAAAATTATGTCCCGCTTCAACGCCAAAAATCGCGGGGAACGTAAACACTTCAACAACACTTCAACACAACATTTTCCATCAAACATTGACCTACGTACCCAAATAAAAATGAGCAAAAAACGCGCGCGCGCTCTTGCACCTCCTGATCTTAATTCTGAATACTAGAAGCTCTTAAAAGCTTCTCAACATAAGCGAATACAGTTAGCATTCGAATGGCTCCTCGAAAACCCTTCCGAAACACTTCTTACTGCGAGTCGCATTCATATGATAGAGAAGCCTGATACTTTAAAGCGAAGATGGAATAAGTATCAAGCTAAACAAGCTCGATTGAAAAAGGGGAAAGCGCTACAAGTAGGGAGGCTTATAGTTCTATCAGCAGCACAGCACAAAGCTGTTTTGATCTACGCCGCAGATCAAGCAACTAAAGGAGGGAAAAGAGCTACTAAGCGTATGCTTTATCGATGCATTTGCTACCTTAAAATACAAGAAAATAAGCCAGAACCTTCTTAGCGTTAGTTTCAATCTTAGTTAAGAAATACAGCAGAACTCTATGCTATACGGACTAAACCAATCGCATCTTATCGCGTCGATATGCATACCGAGAAATCTCTCTCCAACTGGTTCTATACCGAGCTTGTTCTTGCTATCCAGTTCTGCGGAATTAAGCTTAAAGATAAGCATAGAATCGCAAATATAGATGAGAAAGGCGCGCGGATTTGTATGCCGGCCGGAGAAGAAGTTATCGTACCTATCGGAATCAAAGAGATGTATACAGGAATCTATGAAAATCGACTATCCGTAACTATGATCGAAGCTATTCTTGCCGATAGAAAAGCTATTCCTCTAATGATTATTATGCCCGGAAAGCAAATTATAGCGTCTTGGTTTTCCGAAAAGATGACTAGACATAAAGTTGTCACTGTTTCCGAATCCGGTTATACGAACGATAGGATTACTATAGAGTGGCTTAAGCACTTTATTAAGCATACCGATCAAGGACCCGATAAACCGTAGATGATATTATTACTTGATAGTCAGCTTTGCCACGAAGCTTCAAATTTCATTCTATTAGCTAAACAAAATCGTATATGGCTTATCAAATTCCCTTCTTATCAAACTCATCTTTTACAACCTTTCGATGTCAGCTGCTTTCGCACTTGGAAACATAATCAACAATGTGCTATCATGGATGCTATTCGAGGCTTCGAAGCTGAATATACTATCTCATCGTTTATGCGAGACCTTCTTCAAATTCGCGAGCAAACCTTTACAACTCAGAATATCAAACACGCTTTTCGAGATGCAAAAATGTAGCCGATCAGCTTTTCTCAAATTCAACGCAAATTGAAAGAGTATAGTAAAAAGAGTAAGAAAGAGGCGGGATTGCATATACTCGAGTACGGAGAAACGTCTGATCTTGAAGAAGATGAATATTCTTTTTCAATCGATAAGCAACCTGACGAATTACCTCTTCCTGCGCTACCTCGACCTCCTCAATCTTTTCAAGATTGCGTAAAGCAACTCGACGATCTGAACGATAAGATCAGAATAGCTCTTTCTTCTCCTAGCCGCCAACGCTTCGATATCGCGAAACAAGGTACCGAGACTTAGTTGTTACGAAGAAGCCTTGATCAAGCAGAACTCGATAAAAATCAAAAGCTTCAGCGCGATACACATCGGAAAAAGCTGATTAAAAGGTCGAGTTTGCAAACGGGAGAGAATATACTAGCTTCTAAAGCACTCGAAAAAGTCAAGGCTATAGAGATAAAAAAGCAAGAAGCTAGTCTTAAGATAGCGAACGCTAAACTCAAGTCAGCAACGATTAAAATTCGAAACGATCGTTATAATCAAGGAGTTCTTAATCGGAAAGCCGAAAAAAAGCGAAAGAAATAGTTAAACGAAGCGTATAAGCAACAAAGTCGAGGGATTCCTATACACATTCCACCCGAACGAGAAGTCCTTATTCGAGACCGCGAAAAGCAACCTACAGCAAAAGAACTAGAAGCTAATAATATTGATTTGATTTCTTTTCGAGACGCAGTTGTAAACGAAAAAGCTGCGTTAAAAGAAGTTCAAGAAAGAGATCTTGCTACATTCGCGGACCCTTCGTATTCAATCGATCCTTAAATCCTTACAGAGGAAAAACGCTTTCGAATCAGACAAAACCCATTATCTTGCATTCAAATTAGCGATGACGACGAAGATGAAAGATTAAATACCTTACTTTCGTCTCCTTTAGCAAAAATGATGCTTACTAGGTGGGAAGAGCCTGAAAAAGAGCTTGAAGAGAAAGAAGATTCGATATCGATTCGATCTGTAGCATCTCTTAATTCAATTCAAGGGACACGCGGTGAAATAATTTTTTCGTAGCTTAATTGAGAATGAATAACATTATTAAATATATATATATATATATTATTGCAACGTTGTGAGCAATGTTATGAGCAATATAAGTGTCTACGTTCCCCGCGATTTTTAGCGTTGAAGCGGGACATAATTTTTTCGCGGGACATAATTTTTTCGCCCACTTTAGGGAAGGGCCCCAAAAGTTGCGACGTCAAGGCCCACTATTACCTACCGGTACTCTGTACGGAGTACGGTCTGGCCAGGGCACTTCGCTTTGCGCAGAAAAGCTTCTTTTTGTACAATGTCAGAGCTTTGGCAGGCTAAGAGGGGGGAAATGGGGAATGGGGAATGGTGGCCCAGGTGATCGGCGCAAGATTTGCAGAAAGAGATTGTACCGTATCACTGGGTCCATCAGCAAACAGCAGACGGCCTTGCAGACAGGGCTTTGCCATTTCGTACAATTGCGATGATGCGTGCTGGGTATTGCCCGGTATGAGAGTCTGAGAATCTTTCTTTTTTTCTTTATTTCTTTCTCCTCGGAACAGAGACCGGAGCATGACCGAGGCGCTAACGCCATGCCATCGAAAAGAATAATCCAAGTCGTAGCATGAAAGAGTTTCCCACGCTTGAATCTTACACTTTTGGATATCCCAAAGCTCCTGCTCTCTATCCTCGAGTCCAGTCTGAGTACCACGGCTCTTTTCCCCCTCTAAAAAGTCTCTCTACCTGCTTCTACTCCTCGCCTTTGGTACCCAGCCCCTGTTCCCCCTCCAAACCCTGAACATCCCCCTCCGGCCTCTTCCTCTCCCTCACAAAGAACCTGCTCGTGTCCCCCATCGGGAAACTAAACCCGCACGCAGTCTGACACATCAGGTGGGCCACCGTGTAATACCCTAGCATGCCCGCGCAGAACGCAAACGCGCCCGCCGCTTTGTTCAGCGCGACGCTCCTGTCGGCAGCCCCGTCAGCCGCAGCGAAGTAGGCGGCTGACACCAGCGCAAAGGCCAGCTCGACGAAGAAGAAGATGCCGATGTAGACGAAGTTAATGGGGAGGGAGCCGATGAGGAAGAAGGTGTTGAGGACGGTCCACATCAGGACGAAGAAGCCGAGGGCGTTGTTGTAATCGGCCGAGTTCGTGCCGTAGGCTTCCGCGACGCCGAAGAAGGGCGTGATTATGGCGCCGAACCCGCCGTAGAAGAATCCTTTACAGGGAATGTTAATCGTGATTTCGGCTGGATAATTTTAGGTGTGACTGACCGAATGCGCTGAGAACCGTGTAGCCGAAAGAATTACCCAGCACGAGCTCCCACTGCGCTGAAATCACCATTCCGATACCCGCAACTTCATTCTGTCAGCTTTTAAAAAGGAGATGGGCTGGTGAGACGTACCAAAGAAGAAGTTCCCAATGAAGACATTGTTGGTCGATAGCCCCCTCCATTGCATCAGCGAAAACGACAAGGTGGTAAGCGTCGTTGAGAAAGCTCCAATAGCCAAAGCAGTCTACGCGTCTCGTCAGTGGAATTTCCGGTGACCGTTGGATCGACTCACAGGACTACCCAAAGTGCTCTTCACAGTGCTTGGCACAAAGAACGGGTACGGCTTGCCGGTCAGAGTCGGCGAAGGCGTGAGGCTTCCATTTGCGGTGGAGTCCTGCGTATGTGGCGGAAAGACGTTACGATTCGCCTCTTCTAGAGTGCTTTGCCGGACGACATTCCGGAGGATTCTGTCTTCAGACGACATGCTGATAGATATTTTGTGGCTGCAGTTATATAAAGCGATTCGTAGGCTGTTATCATGGGCTCCAATGGATTAGCGAGGGATACATATCAGATGGAGGTGCACCATCCGGCCCTCTCTTTCCCCAGATCGCGTGCATAGGGCAACGTAAGGCGACATAATATCCTTGATGGGGGTAGGCAGGGAGGAGGCCAGTTTTCTTCGGGGATATAACTGGTAGTCATCTCGATAAGGGATTGAACGACCGGTACCTAGGCTTAGGACTTCGGTTCACGGAGTACGGATAGTTTCACGAGGCGAGAGGCAGGCATCAATTGCATGAAAGAATCTTGACTTCTTAGGTCAGCATTATTGGCACGTACGGGTCGTGTAATCGTATCCTGCAAAAGTCGTGAACCTCTATCACGCCATATTTGGCGAGCATTACTCATTCGAATCTTCGCAATCGAAATTAAGATAAAAAATGCGCTCGAACAAACAGTTCAAGCCTTGGTATGAACTTTCATTTAGTATTTCTGTTTATCCAGCGATCCGTTTTCAGGAACGGACTTGACATTCTGCCGTGACATTGTGGCTTTCTCTTGATCGAACTTGGTACTTTACATGTGCGAAGTCCATATTATATACCGACTTACTGCGCATGGTTTCACGATTATCAAAAATTCAGAAAATGGCTTCAACCACAAAGAATGGGTCGAAGAGGGCTCACGGGCTTCTTGACTCGGATCAGATATACATATCACAATCGATCGAGCATTCTTTGACACCACCCGAGACTCCGCCATACGAGAAGCATGCCACAAAACCTGTGCATCCATGGCCCGAACCAGAGACCGCCCCGGAGGCTTCAAATCAAAAACGGAGAAAAACTTTGGTTCACGACGAAGTGGACGATTTCAATGTCTCACATCAGGATGTGCTGCTTCTCCATGCACCGAAACAGCGATATGCACATACACAACAGCAGCCCATACCGGAACTGAGAAATGACAGGGAAATGTTAGTTGCAGTCGACGCGATCGGGCTGAATCCCATCGACTGGAAAGCTCCGTATGTATATTGCGAATCCTTATTTAGCAGTGTGCATGCTGATGTTGCGCAGTGATTTTGGCTGGGGACTTCCGGCTTTGCCCTGCATCAGTGGTCGGGATCTCGCAGGGAGAGTTGTGAAAGCACCGAAACTGCAATCGAGACTTGGCAAGGGGGATAACGTGAGTATTCTGGCGCCTTGAAAACTCGCCTGCTCACTTTTCAGGTTATGGCGATCTCAACAGACTATCGTGACTCGAGGAAATCCGCCTATCAACAATATGCTGTGGTATCGGACTTCAACGCTTGCAGACTTCCAGATCATCTAGGTCCTACAGATGCTGCACCGCTTGGGGTCGCTTTTGTAGCCGCTGCATTGGCACTCGGAATTTGTTTGGGTTTGGATTTCGGTCGCGGCAATGAGCCTCGTGGTCCCAACCTATTGCGAACTATTCAATCCCTGCCTCGAGAAGCACTACCCAAAGATATCCAAGGAGAGTGTTTTGACAACATCAAGGAAAGCGAGAGAGCGAAAGCAGGTGACTGGATTGCCATTTGGGGAGGTAGGAAGGCCCCGATGCTCACAAGAACAAGTAGCTAATGGTGCCAGGCTCATCCGCAACTGGTTGCTGCGCAGTACAACTAGCAAAACTTGCCGGCCTGAAAGTTATTGCGATCATCGATGTTGCCCGAAGCGGTGAGCGAATGCTCAAGCATGGGGCCGACCTGCTGGTGGACCGACTTGACACGGAGCGAGCCATCGAAATCGTGAAGGGTATCACCAAAGGCAGGCTGCGCTTCGGGCTCGACACAAGAGGCAGAGAGAGCGCGGCTATGCTTGCAAAAGTGATGCAATCGCAGACAGATGACCAGGATGGCAATGCTCACGCTCGAGCTCATCTTGTCGGCCTGGTAGCAGTCCCCAAAGAGCCAATAGACGGTGTAGTATACCATTCGGTGCCTATCAAGGCCTTTCATGAAGCGCCCGCCGTGGGAGAAGGAATGATGGTTTGGTTAGAGAAGCTTTTGAGCCAGAAGCTGATACACACCCCTGATATCGAAGTTGCTGGTGGTGGTTTGGAGGGCATCAACGCGGCTTTGGACAAGCTTCGTGATGGAAGCGTCAATGGACCCAGGATAGTTGTGCCTCTCACGGCCTAAGACCGAGTCAAGGGTCATAGGATAGACACTTCGGAGTAGATCGTGGAGACATAGATAGTTATTAAGGGCAGATCCAGGTGAATAAAGACTCTGATCATGAGGCTCCTCGTGTTATTGACGATGATTTCGTGACGATGGAAGGGGACCGAGTTGTTTGCCCGTTTGCACGTTTGCTCGGAGCAAGGTCTGGCCCCCGCTAAGCGAGCTGCCAAGATCTCAGGTTGGTTGCGTCGCTTCGGCAATTCAGACGACAACCCATCTCCAAACATCACCTACGCACAGCTTCGTCATCTTTCTTTGATCAGTTCCTGGGGTACACCAAACTTACTTTTCAAAACTCAAAAACATCGATAACCAGATGTATGGCACAGAGTATATTCATTTTCGGGACCGGATGGTGTCTTGTATCATGGCGGGGCTGGATTGCACCATTTTGCGTATGGGGTAAACCTAAACCCACCCAACTCCCCCATTTTCCCCACTACACCAGAAGTACCAACCTGGTCTGAATTTCTCAGGAGCTCTCCCCGGTCGGAAAGCTCTCGAATTCTTTTGTCGTAGAAAAATCCAACTTTCCTTGCGTACTTTCCGTCCAGATCTATCTCATTTACTCATTTATATCTGCAACTTGTTCATGAAATGACTGCCAAAAGACAAAGAACTTCCGATGGGAGCGCTGCCATTGCTGAGGATGGCCACGGGAATGCAGCTCTGAACGGCGCTCATTACACAGCGGCTTCTGACATCAACGATGATGAAGACAGAGTCAAGTTTGCTTACTGGGTTCCCAATGTGTCCGGGGGTTTGGTAATTTCCAAGATCCCACAGAAGACCGGGTACGTTCGTGTCCTCTGAGAACCAGCTCAAGGATCTGACAGCGCCCCAGCTGGGACTACGAGTCCAATGTGAGATACGCTCGAACTGCAGAGAATGTCGGTTTCGAATACGCTCTCAGCCAGATTCGCTTCATGTCTGGTTACGGAGCTGTAAGCGACCTCCCTTCCTCACCATCACTTCTCTAACAGCTATCAGGAAAACCAACACGAGTCCGTCTCTTTCTCACAGGCTCTCCTTCATGCAACCAAAAAGCTCAACGTGATCGCCGCTCTCCTCCCAGGACCGTGGAACCCCGCCATTGCAGCGAAGCAAATCGCCAGCATCGATCACTACACCAATGGGCGCATCTCCGTGAACGTTGTTTCCGGCTGGTTCAAGGCCGAGTTTACCAGCATCGGGCAGTGGTGGCTTGAGCACGCCGAGCGCTATCGCCGCAGCAGAGAATTCATGGAGTGCCTGCGCGGGATCTGGACGACGGATAAGTTCACCTTCAAGGGAGATTTCTACCAGTTCCACGATTACCCGCTCTCGCCCAAACCTCTCTCCCTCCCAGGGCGACCTCATCCTCTGATCTTCCAGGGCGGAAATTCGATTGACGCCAGAGAAAACGGTGCGAATGTCTGCGACTATTACTTCATGAACGGTAACACGCTTGAAGGCTTCCAGGAGCAAATCGCCGACGTTAGAGAACGCGCCCGCAAGGTCGGCAGAGAAGGCGACGTCCGTTTCGCAGTCAACGGCTTTGCGATCGTTAAAGAGACCGAGGCAGAAGCCATCCAACTCCTCTCTGAGATCCAGGGTAAAGCCGACAGAGAAGCCGTGGAGGCCTTTGGCGACGCGGTCAAACAAGCTGGATCTTCCACAGGCAACAAGAAAGGTATGTGGGCAGATAGTAAGTTCGAGGACTTGGTGCAGTACAACGATGGCTTCAAGACGAAACTTATCGGGACGAAGGAGCAGGTCGCTGATCGCATCCTGCTGTTGAAGAGCTTGGGGGTTGATATTGTGCTGTTGGCGTTCTTGCATTACGATGATGACATTGAGGATTTTGGGAAAGAGGTTCTACCGCTTGTTAGAAGGCTCGAAAAGGAGGGGCGGGGTAAGAACGTGGAGGAGGAGATTGAGCGGACAGGAGATGTCTATCGGGCAAGAGATAAGACCCAGAAGGCGTGATCAAGGATAGAAAAGTAGAATGGGTGGTTGAAGGTTCTGGATGATTGCAAGGTAGTTTTTCTCTATCCCCGATATTCCTACGCAGGCAGTTTGCTATTGACACTACGAATTTCTGGGGTATACTTTCTCGCTGCTCAAGCTATCGCGTACCCCGACTGTGTTTGGGATTTCTCCAGTACCTTCTTCGTACACCTTGATGTTCTTTCCATTTATTATGCCAAATGGCCTTACACAGACCAACATCTTTAGAGAAAAAGACCTCCCAGAAGCCCACAGGCTATTACAGGCCGTCCTCAAATATGGAGAGAATTACCCTTTAGACTTTTCAGGTGCTCAGTACGGACACTTTCAGTCAGCGGTCACACGATGGGCGGAGTATGAGTTGAAGCGTATCGCCCGGCATATATCAATTAACGACGGTTTTCAGAACTTTGGGGGACGCAGAGATTCTTACAAGGCACTCACTTCTATCTAAGACCTTTTGACCGAGGAAGATGGCTGACATGTATCTGTCTCAACGACTTCTTATCGACGGGTCTGATGGCAGGTGTCAACGAGTTTGAGAAGGCGGGAGGTGCCAGGGTGAAGGTGTTGCTTGAGCCTGAGATGATCGAACGAATCGACTGCAGCATCGAGCAGCTTCTTTCTGTTCTTGAGGTGAAGAATGCGGCGTTTATGCAAGTGCTCGCTGAGTCCCAGCCGAGATGATGCCGATTTGGAGGGTATCGGAGGCTGTCCTTTTCATACACAGAGTCCTTGGGGATACTGGGGATTTTTCCTCTCCTTGCTACTATTCGTAATCTGAACACCTAATAAGCGGATTTCAAGGATTGAAATTTAGATGCTTCGATTCCACGCTCACGATCGGCAGTTGCGGTGATTGGCGATGCGCTGTCTTTGTGAATCTTACCCGCTTGATCTGAAGGGGAATACGGTTGGAAACGGAAACGTTACGACTCTACAAGCTGCCTTGAGATCTAAATGAAGCCCATCATTCAAATTTCGCAGTCTGAAATAAATTGAGTCCGTGATTGAACAAGTTGCCCATCTTCATTGTTCAACGTCTGTGTTTACATAAGTCGCTCGGCAGCCCCACATTTATCCGCCGAAGCGAGCAAAAAAAATATCGGGCTACAAGGTAGAATTGCCTAGCAACCTAACCCTCTTTATAAGATTGACATGGCGAAATCCATATCCGGAATCTCGCTGTATAATAACCAAGGTTTGCTTGCCTAAAGGATGAAAGGAAATCGTTTCACGAGAGTTCTTCGTCTTTGTCTGAGGGGCCGAGGCACATTGGTGAATTCATTGAGGTCGTTTGGCAGTTACGGCTCGGCTCGTATATCGTTTCTAGGGGGGCTCGAGAGTTTTCGGGATTTTCAAGACGCAGACTAACTATTCAATTAATGAAAAAAGAAAATGATTTTATAGGAGCCAATTCACGCGTTAAACGCGCTCTCTAGTGGTAGTAATTTTCTTTTTTGGCTGACTGATTCTTGGTGAGCATGTCGAAGCCTATGATGCTGGAAGCTTAATTCAGAAATGAACAGGGAAAGAATGGAATCATAACATGCTCTCGATTTGAATTCCCTGAGGATATCGAGTCAAAGTGAAAGGAGCCCGTGAAATAGGGCGGGCCACCGGTAGATGATTGTACCATGGAATTCCACTTCACAGCAGATATGCGATCACAGCACGTTACGCTACCGCGAAATCCTTTGACTCCCAGCTCACCTCTCATGCGTTGTGAAAATTCAGCCGAAGCGTTAGAGATTTGGCGCCTGGGATCGCAGGTATGGGGGGATTGGGAAACTTTGTGGAAAGGAGGGGTGATTGAGATGTTGCTGCACTTTGCCTCCGCCACGAGATACCTCAGAATCTCATCATTGAGGCATTCTTATAATTTTGTTCGGAATATCAGACATTGATCTCCAAGCAATTTTCGGAATGGAGAAGAGAACAGGCTTCGGTGACGAATCAGTATAACTCTATCCCCAAGACTCTAATCTAGGATCTCGCCGGCTTCGCTCCCCTCCTCGGGCTCCTCTACACCCTCTCCTGCCTCCTCTGCCTCCCCTGCATCCTCTTCTGGCGCCTCTTCGCCCTTTTTATTCTCCTGAGTCTAGTTGAGCTTTGTTGGAGCTTACACATGCTGAACATTTCGAGAAGCTACACCTTGCTGGGAATCTGCACGATTTCAAGCTGCCGTTGCAATTTCGTTTCTTCGGCCGCTACTTTCTCTCAAGCTTGAGGCTGACAATCCCTCAGGGTGCCCATATCGTCTTCAAGGCACTCCTATCCATGTCTACCACACTTCATTTAATACTCTCCTCCTCCGATTTTCACAACAGACAGACATCTCTTGTGTATTCGTCACCTCTGCATATTTCATTATCCAGGTCTCGAAACAGAATAAAAATCCTCATTAAATATTATCAGTTTCGCATTTTCTTTCTACCCGAGGCCGTGGCAGCTTAACATTATATCGCCGCTCTGATTTCCTAGCTACTGCATCATAGCTTGTGAGAATAACAATAACGATAAACTTCCTCCGATTCCCATCTTTGTCCCCAAACTTGCTCCCACGAATCTTCCCCGCGCATCGCAAACCCTAGAGAGAAAAGACGGTATCGGCGATGCAGACAGACAACTCTGCCTGAAGCTTCCCTTTCTGCCACCGAAGCATGAGCACAAAACAACCGGCAAGTCAAAACATTCGGCCTCCAGCGTCAGATGCAGCAGAATCTCCCACGCCCCCTCTCCTTCAACTCTGAAATGGGAAGGCGAACAGAGCGCATTCTACATCACAGCTGCGGAGAACAACAAGGTCCCATCATGCAAACCCGCGACGGCGCAATTCTTCCAGTCCGACAGGGCGGGAAAGACTACAGTGCCTAGGTAGGCACATCACGGAGAGAGATACCCTTCAGCCGAGGTCCTCCCTTCTGCTCCGCTCTGCGAAACTTTGAAACCGCATTTCTCCCTTCGGAGTCGCCCGGCCGGAAAACAACCCTTCTGCCTTTAGGGATCACCTGTCCTCTCATCAGAATCTCACATCACATCACATCTCATTTCGTCCTAGTCCCCAGAAAAAAAGGTAGCGATGTATATAGATATATCTCACTCCCTCGACCTCTCCCCTCTACCCGCTCCTTCCTCCCCCCCCCCCCTCTTCTCTCTTCCCCCATCGAAACATCCAAAAGCTCTTCAACTTTTCTTTCCTACCGTAGCTTGAACTTGGCCTTTAGAGCTGAGCTTTGGCTGAGCTTAGCTTAGCTTAGCTTAGCCTTATCGTTAGGTAGATACGTACGTAGCTACGTTCGTACCTAGGCAGAGAGTAAGTATGCCTACCCCCTATGCCTATGCCTATGCCTGCCTACCTGCCCACCCACAAGAGCAGTAAATGAGGCGAGGGAGAAGGGTATGCAGGTAGGCAGGTAACCTAGGTATGTATAAACAAATGTACCGATATGTAGATAGTTAGATGGATGTGTATAAGCGAGAAAGCAAGCAAGCGAGCGAGTAAATAAGCAAGCAAGCGAGCAAGCGAGAAAGCAAGCGAGAAGCAGGCAAGAGGGCAAGTAAACAAGTAAGTAAGCAAATAGATAGATAGGTAGATAAAATGAGAAAAGGATAAGAAGGCAAGGGGGTAAGGAGGTAAGGAGGTAAGGAGGTAAAGACCCTCCCCCTCCCACCTTCTAATTTGCTCATTTGCGCTCATCCACCAGATACCGCGCGACAGGCTTTCCTCTCACCATACTCACGATGCTCACCTTTGACCTTCTGCCTTCTACCTCCGACCCGACGAGTCAGCGTCGTCGAAAAAGGATGCGGGCAGTCAGATCATCAGCAGACAGACAGGTTCCCGATCAAGAAAATTGAGATTACCACGCCTTACGTAACTAGCTAGGCTAGGCTATCTATGCACCTTAAATATATACATCCTAATAATCGTAATGCCTCCTGATGATCGGCCGTGCCGGATCCCACGGGCCGTGAATCTCATTCTTGTACTTCTGCAGGCCAATCAGCCACCAGCTGCACCCCCCCATCGTCAGCCCCGCGGCGAACAGCCCGATGAACAGGCCCATGAGCCCGCTCTTCCACGGGAAATCCCAGATGCCCTCGCCGTCACCCCCGCGGCCGAGGATCAGGCCCGCGCCGCCGCCGGCGCCGATGACGAGGAGCGTGGTGAGCAGCATGTGGCCCCGGAAGGACTTCTGGCGCGCGTGTCGCCGGAACACGGGGAAGAGCCCGAAGACTTCGATGGAGAAGAGGGTGAGGGAGAAGACTTGTCCGGTGGTCGGTAGACGGGATGCTAGGACGGTAGAAGCCATCAAGGCGGCGTTGGTGCTGAGACTTGCGGGGATGTTTTTGATGCTGGAGTTGAGCGACGTTTGCGTCGGGGTGCTGTAGTCGAAGAAGAAGATGTTGATGGTGAAGAGCAGGAAGGACATGGCCCAGATGGAGTCCTCGGATGTGGACTGCGTCAGGGATTTAAGGATGGGCGAGAGCCCGAGCAGGGTGAAGTAGATGAGGAGGGCCGACTTGGCGGTTGCGAGGCGGAGGTTTGTTCGCTGGGAGAAGCGAGCTGGGGAGCCCGGGGAAGGGGAGTTGGGGACGTAGCGCGGGGTGGGCACCTGCGGTGCTGAGGATCCGGACAGTAGCGACGAGGCAGATGCAGAGTGGGAATGACGAGCGAGGTTTGAGCTGTGGAGATTCGGGACTGACATCGATGCCGGGTTCGGATGGAGATTGGAGAGCGAGCCCGAGGTCGACGGGCCTTGGGTGAAGATGGGTGGTGAGGGCGGTTTGGACTCTTCTTGTCCAACCCAGCAGTCCCATAGCAGCCATCCCAGAAATGTCCCAATCGACCCCCATCCCACGACTGCCTCGGGCGAGACGCGCAACTGATGGATGCCGGTGAAGCAGACGATGAATATTATGACGGAGCAGACGTGCTGCACGATGACCGTGGAATCCGCGACGAGCGGCCAGAAGTTATAGGGCTGCAGCCGCGGATTACGCTGCAGATGTTCGAGGAAGGTATCTTGATCCGTGTAGTTATCTGGGTCTGTCCATGATTAACTCTCGCCCTATGGATGCGACGCGCGACCTTACAGGACTGCTTTACCCACAGCAGCTTCTTCCAGGTGGCCCTCTTCCTCCTGCTCCCACTCCGCGCTCGATCGCCATTCCTCCCTCTCCGGGGCACCCGCAGGTCTGCATTGAGTCCATTCGTCATGCGCAACTCCTTCACATTGCTCACGGCAGCCGATTGCTTACGCGGGGGGGAGCTCTGGTAGATAGCATCTTCGGGCGCGAGCAGCGAGCGGCCGGTCGCAGTGACTTGCGGCGCATACACCGGAAGGGTACTGTTTCGCGTAAGAGGTGGGAAGGGATTCTCTATCGTTACGGGCGGTGATGGAGGCAGTGGTGGTGGTGGAGGAGGCGGCGCCTGGTTGGGCACCATAGTATGAACAGCTGGAAGGATTCATGAGGTTGAAGTTGTCACTTGTCAGCCTCGGGACAATTGGCTTTGACGTACCGGGGCTAGTAGCGAGGCTGAGGTTCCTTGTCTTGGGGAATGGAAATCGGAATTCTTCCCGAGGCCTAGGATGGTGGAGAGTACCTAGTTACATTCTTTTACTCATCTGGGACCTCTTTATGCCATGCCATTCTCAGAAAGTCACGATGACAGAAACTTGGATTTTTGGGCGAACGTCACGTGGTAATATCGCCTTCCACTTCTCTTCTCGCTTCTCACATCGAGAACTTTCCAATGCCCAGGATGGGAAAAGAATTTAGATAACCAACTCATCCAGGACCTCTCTCTACCATGATATTCTCTAAAGTAGCATTGGCAGAAAGCTTGATGGGCTGATGTTGATATCACGTGGTAATATCGCCCTCCATTTCTTTTATCGCTTCTCTCTTCGAAGCCTTCGACTCCAAAGTCCAGCCAGCCAGCCAGCCATACATCCGAAAAAAAAAAAACATGTGTCTGCTGCAACGATTATTTTCTTAAACAGCTAGCTGCAATTAAGCCTTCAGTGCTCAAGCCTCTCTTATTCCTGCCAGTGGACCGTCTGCTGGTCATCATTAGCTGCAAGACATGATTTCCGGCTCTCAACTCTAGTTCCATACACGACAACCCCTCAGCGACCCATCTCATAATTTCCTGTGATGATTTGGACGTCGTTCGTGCAGCGAATGATTAAATATGCGATTCCACTCACGCCTTTCCCAGCTACGGATGGATACCTTGTATTGTCACCTTCGATCTCCTTTACATCTCCTTTACGGACGTGTCGAACCGAAACGAAACGAAACGAAACGAAACGAAAAGAGCCCAAACCCCATGCTCTACGGCGATTCGAAACTCCAATGCCAAACTCCGTAAACAGTCGGAAAGCGCAGAATATCAGAACCGACACGTGAAATGAAGTGGATTAATACACTTCAGCCCCGTGCTTTTGCTTTGCTTTGCTTTCACTCCGCTCCGCTTGGCATTTGCCCCCGCTCGGGACCTGGGTGCAGATCCCGCCCTCTTCCTCGCCCGGTCCATGGTCCGAATACGATAGAGTACCTACAGTGGTCGGGGGGGGGGGGGGGGGGGAATTGTACAGAGAGAGAGAGTTCCTCTTGCTGCTCTTCTCTTGATCTATTTCTCTTAAGATTTTATTCTACCAACTGACCAATCTTTTAAAATAAACATGCTTCGAAATAAGCAATCTCGCCAGCGAGCCCGTAAGCGAACTCACAACCCTCGAAACATAACATCTCGCTTCGCTTCGTCTTCGTCTCGAAGCTCTCGACAGCAATTCAAATGGGAGGGGAAAGAACAGGTCGAGGGACGGGTAGAGTGTATGGTTCGGAAGAAGTTGTGAGTGTGTACGAAGTTGATGGAGAAAGAAAGGGGTTGTGATTGGTTTTGGAGGGGGGAATGTTGTTTTGGAGCTCGTAATTCTCTTTCTTAAGTACCTAGTAGAGAGAGAGAGAGAGCAGTGAGTTATTTCTAGGATCTTTGAAAAAGCTTCTTATTATATTAGCTATGGTAGCTTGCTTGGCCTGCTTTAGCCTATCCTAGCCTAGTCTAGAATCTGAACTCCGAATCGAAGAGAGCGGGCATATCAGATGGATGGCGTGTTTATACAACTACTATGCTTGTATATGCAGGTATACTTGACGTGGGTGGAATATGAAGGATACTGATTACCTACTTTGAAGCTTCGTGTTTGACTCGGCGTTTCCCAGGCGAGAGCGCGCTGACTCGGACGGAGAGAGAGAGAAAGAGAGCGAGAGGGAGCTCCCTTCTTGTCATTTTTGTCTTACACTCCGTACACAACTACCGGAGGATGAGAAGAACCCGAGAGCCGTGTGAGTGCGGTAGGTGTGTGGGCTGGCTAGACTTGTAGCGGAGTAATATAATGGCTCTATCAGCCATAGGCCGTAGCCGTAGCCGTAGCCATGGCCATAGCCATAGCCATAGCCATAGCCATAGCCATAGCCATAGCCTTCGGCCATTGGCCAATCGCCCTAGACCTCTCGTACATACTGCATGCATACCAACTAAATCATCGTGGCTGACAGAATGATGCACGCCCTCAGCTGCTGTCGGTACAGCTGGCTACATCAGCACGGCCCAAAGTCATTTACTTTCCTGATCCAGGCTGATACGGCAATGGAATCGGGTCAGGTAATTAACAAGAAAGCAAGCAAGCAAGCAAGCAGGAAGATAGCGGATACCACGTATGCTTGCCAGCTACGGGCAGTACATCGATTGAAATGCACATTTGATTTCGTCCTCCGATGGCTTCGGTACATCTACGGTTATCACCACATGATCACCACATGACTTTGAAATCACCGAGCGGATCATCCATCCCTACGGCCGGCCAAGCCAAGCCAGACCAGACCTGACGCTCGTCCTTTTATCCATGCGCACATCACATCAACATCACATCAACATCACATCATCTCAACTCAACCGCAACCCCAACAACCTCAGTCTCAAACCGCAAGTCTCAACCGCGACCGCGACCGCGACCGTGGCAGTTGGTGTATCATCTGATACCGGACTCGCCTGGTCTCGCCGGGTCCGTCGTACTAGTCATTCTAGTAAGTTACCGTCACACTCACACCCGTTTATAGATAGGTAGGAGATCTCGCTCCCTTCGCTTTGTGCGTCCAAGTCCATTTCCTCTCTGACCTCTCTTACCCCGACCCACCCTCCGTTTGCATCAAACTCGACATCGACACTCCTATCAACAAAGACCCGAAGCAAGTAGTATATAACAAGAAAAACGTCCGTCGAATATTGGCAGAGAAGCTTTCATTGCCTGCATTGCCTGCATTGCATCCGAGGGACCGGACATCATCAATATCAATTACTTCCCCCTCCCCCCCACGGGAAATACCCACCGCGCAATATCTGAAGGTCCCCGGGGGATCCTCCACAGCATCCTCTACAATTCTCACCATGAAGCCCGCATCGCGTCTCTCACTCTCTGCCTCACTCATCCTCCTTCTCCAGCTCGCGTCAGCCGCGCCCACCACGGAGGACCCGAATCCCTTCCCTTCTGACTGCCATCACACCTCCTGCACCAGGTACCGCAGCAACCTCCTGGCCCCGGAACCGGAACCGAAACCCCACACGCCGCCCACCCGTCTGACAACTCCTCACTTCCCGTCGCACCAATTGTTGTCGTCCCCAGATACCCTGAAAGAATCCTCTTTCGACAATACCCCCGTCACGCCTTCCGAGTCAACCATCCCTAGCGCTGCCCTCGCCTCCGAACAGCCTCTCTCATCCGGCTATCTCCTCTCCCTCGCCAACCCTGCCGCCTCTCCCTCCATCCAGAAGGCGCCGCATCACATCATTAGCGACGACGCCCTCCCCTCGAAACCCACTTCCGCGCTCGCGGCACTGCGAAAGGAGGACGCGGTGCGGTACTGGGCGTTGTTGCGACCAGCATCTACGCGCCAGGCAGGAGAGACGACGGGCAGCGATGGACCTCGTTTCAAGGTACAGCTCTGCGGAGCCGGAAACTTCCTTTCTGATCACTACATCACCCTGCGAGCCGTGCACTTGTCACGAGACTATAGTGACCTGATGGTCGTGGGCATCGTGATGCTGTTCCTGATCGTGGTCGTCGCGTTGGAGATTGTGGAGCGGATGGGCGATTTGTGAGTTTTGATTTTGGGCGCCGGATACTTGGGACGACAGCTAATCGGCGGATGGCAGGAACTCGATGTTGACCGGTAGACGATGTGCCCAGAGAGGAGATATCTACCTCGAGGACGACGAGATGCTCGCTTACATCGTGAAGAAGCCCGTCTCGCCCCAGTTCGACGCGCCACACTACCGGATTCTGACAGACGAGTATGTCGATGAGAAGGAGGCTTTTCAATACGACAGTGATGCCGACATGAGGGTTTGACAGATGCGGCCGGGGACGACAGGCGACTTCCTCTGGTATGGGTGACGGGGGAGTTCTGGGAAGGACGGAAGGAAGGGTGGCTGAGGACATGGCCAGGCGGCGTCTGGGGATAGCATAATATTTGGGGCTGGATGTAGCGACATATACCTGGTGCAGCGCATTGCTTAGAGCAGAGAAAGTCACTCCTGAGGAGCAGATAATACTACAAATTAATGATGTCTTTTTTTTTATATTATATATAAACATCCCGAAAGGCTTTGTCGGCCGGTAGTCGAGACCAAGTTGAACACTGGTCGACCTGGCCCTTGGCGAGCTGTCGACCAGGCCCCTCTCGTCACTCTAGCCTCTTGATCATAGATCATAGGTACCGGTACCGGTACTCCCCTCTCAACATCTAGTAGTACTAGTACTAGTACTTTCCTACCCTTGACGCACAACTACTAGTAAAAGAAGAGGCAAACAACCCCTGCCTTCTTCGTTCCTGCATAAAAGCTTGCTTGGCTTCTTTTTTTTTTTT